CATCGGGCCTAAACAGAACATCATTAAAATAGGCCGTTTTAAAATATTGGAAGCAAGCAGTGCATACTGTGCCGAAGCCATAGCTTTTCAGGAGGCCCTCCATTATCTGTCCACCATTCGAACACAACTGCCGATCAACATTTACACAGACTGTTTATTGTTATTAACGGCTATTGCAAGTCTAAAAACATCGGATGCGAGGGTGGCACAGATAATTGGGGACCTCTCAAAACTAAAAAAAATATATGACCGTAAATTTATATCACGTTCAAGGCCACAGTGACGTCTACGGTAATGATTTTGCGAATGCTGCCGCTCAGTCGGCAACGAAATACGGATTAATTCGGTAGTCTAAAACATAAACTAAAACAATTAGAATAAAATTTTATGACCGGATGTACCTATATTGGAATACAAATTGGATTCGAAATCATTCTAACACAGAACTTTTCAAATTGGGCCCAAACATAGAAAAACTACCCTCATATTTTCCACCACACAGATCTATAGTAAGGATACTAAGTCGGCACGAAAGATTTACGTATCACTTACATCGTTTTAATCTGGCACCAACATCTATGTGCCCCTGTGGCAACATCTGCATTAATTTCCTTCATTATCGAAATGAATGTCAAATTACGGCACCCATCATAGCCTCACTTTCCAAATCTATTAACTCATTAGTAACAATTGATGAATTACCCAAATTATTGGCAATAAAAAAAGGACAGAGCAATATCAATTACAATGGAACGTATCATTGACAAAAACATTCCCAATTATGTCAGACCGCAACCACGATTGGATGCCACGTAACATCTAAAGGCATCTACAAGATAATGACGCATCTCCTTCAGAAAATATTGTACATACCCTACTGCCTCAAACAAAATAAGAAACACATCTTTTGGCATAACTATTTCATGGCATTCTACTAGTTGTCAAGGAACATGGTGGTTACAGATTCCAGCTAGTTGGGGGTTCTGAAAAAAAAAAAAAAGTGGTACAGAACCCGGGAATCGTGGGGGGTTCCCACTCTCACCAGTTTCTATTTTGACTACATCATTGATTTCATCAAATAACGGATGAATTCCATTCAGATGCAGTGCCGTAATTAAGGAAACTAATGTTGTTATACAACAATATATGTAAACAACAGATTGGAAGGGCCCAATAACAATACATTAGCCGTTTGGTGGCGTGGCGGCCACAAAGTCCAGCCACTAAGACGGGTTCAAAAAAAAAAAAAAAAAACAACGAAATATTCAGTCAGGACGCTTCAAAATCAAGTCCGCAATTGAAACTAAGAACTTCGGCGAGATCACATTCCTGCGACAGGAAAGGCAGCTAATGAATGTGTGCCCAAACTGACATGGAGTGTGCCACTTTGTAAACAAGCATATGCTCTTATTACACTGCATCCAATTCATCTGCGCAATAATTCAACAACTCAATACCACCGAGTACATCAAAGAGAGGATTATACTTCTGCCATGCCTCGGTAAGGCAATACTAGTATGCCGAACTCCATCTAGAGGCAGTAGGGACTGATACTTTTATTTACCAATATGTACCGTATTTACTCGATTCTACCGCGCCCTCGATTGTAACGCGCACTCGGTTTTCACGACGAGAAAAAAAAATTAAGGCATCGATTGCAACGACGCGCACCCATTTTTCTCGTTGGCCCGCACGATCACACTACTCTGGAAAACGACTCCTTTCGGGAGCGTCTTCCGTTTAAATATGAGGTATGGGGGAAGCTTGTGCCTATCTGACGTGCAACGGAGCATTGCCGTCACTCTTGTTTTACCGTGGCCCATGTCAGCATGCGAACTTGCTTTGCCCCCTTCTTCTCGACGGTTGTGGTGCTAGGCATGTCGAAGTAAAGTGATGCCCAATTTGGCTTTCAAAAATGTAAATCCACCGAGCTTGCATTACTCAATATTAAAAACGAGATACTAACCAATTTTGAGAAAAAGCTATATACTTTTGGTCTTTTTGTTGACTTCCGCAAAGCATTCGACACCGTGCACCACAGTGTTCTCTTAGAAAAACTTAATAACTACGGTGTCCGTGGCGTTGCCAATAGGTTAATTCAAAATTACTTAACAGACCGCTATCAGTATGTCGCTATTAATCAAGAGACATCTCCCCGCGCGAGGGTCAACAAAGGTGTCCCACAAGGATCGATACTTGGTCCTCTGTTGTTTATAGTTTATGTAAATAACTTGTGTAGCATTCCGGATTCTTCTAAGTTAATCATGTATGCTGACGACACCAATATATTTTTTGCTGGTTCATCGATCTCTCAACTTGAAAAGTCTGTAAACACATATCTAAATAAGTTGTCTTCCTGGATTAAACTAAACAAGTTGCAGCTAAACGTGAGTAAAACTAAATATATATTGTTTGCACCCATTAATAAGCCACGGAATATAAGTCTAAGTGTCTCCTTTGAGGGTCAGACTTTAGAACAAGTCAAGGTACAGAAATTCTTGGGTGTGTGGTTCCAGGAAGATCTTTCCTGGAATGAACATATAAATAAATTGGCAGCAGATCTAAGTAGAAGCGTTGGATGTATGTACAAACTATGTCCGTTATTACCACTTTGGCTAAAGAGAGCATTATATTATACACTGATATATTCCAGGCTAAGTTATTGTGTCTTATGTTGGGGAACAACGACGGCTCAAAACTATAAAACATTACTTACACTACAAAAGAAGGTACCAAGACTATTCGAGGGATATTACGGTATGCCACAAGGTCTTAGCGCACGTCCGTTATTCCCTAAATATCTCATATTACAAGCAAACCAAATATATTATTATAAGTTATTATTGTATATCCAAAATAATAAACTATACCCCATGTACGATTCTTCTCGATGTGCTGAGTACTATCTCCGTACACATAGTATAAGAACACCGAAAACTAGAACAACCTATGGTCAACAACATATTGATTATCAAATACCGAGTCTCCTCAACAAACTGGGTGACGTACTTGACCTAAATAAGAAAACTTCCAAAAATAAGTTCAAGGAATTTCTCCTTTATAATTGTATTGAATGCACTTAATACAGAAATTTGGATTATTTATTACTTTCTGTGTCCCAATTGCTTAGAGTACACTATTTGTGTCCTTTTGTTGTTTTTTTTTTGCTTATTGTTTGTTCAAGGTGCTTAGGAATGTATGTGTCTCCAGATGCTTTCCTTACCTCACCTATTGTATATATTGCGATGTTCTTTAGGTATTTCATTACTATTTACTGTCCTGTTCTTTCTTTATATTTGTGATGGTTACATGTGTGATCAGAATTTGCAAATTGTATCTGTATATAATGATGTTCTCTAATTGCGGCTAAGTTGTGCATGACATGTTATTTTTAGTTTTTATTTTATTTTATTTTGCCAGACTGTATTTCGGAGCAAAAGCCTCCGTCAGGCTATGTAGCCTTTTGCTTTTGCTTCGTTTTTTTCTGTTGCACGTACAGAAAAATAAATCTCAAATTTCAAAAAAAAAAAAAGAGGCATCTGATCGGCATTCCCGATTTGCTGAAGCAGGTAGCCGTTGTTGTGCCGCAAGTTTAGGACGAACCTCTGAAAACTGTGAAGCTTTTTTTCGTACTCCTCCGGCAAGTTTTGACGCATGCCGTTCGCTTTCGGAGGGAAAAGCCTTTCCTCTTCGTAAAGTTAGTTAGCCAGCACCTGCTCGCTTTGAACTGGCTCCGCGTTAGCCCTTTTTCTAAAGCTAACTGCATAGCCCGCACTTCGAGCAGTTCTGTCGTCACGGGCCGCTGTGCCGCTCGCTGCTCAAGCACATACTCGGCGAGCAGCTCTTCAATTTGCGGAAACCGACCCTGCTGTGGTCCACTGAAGCCTTTGCATGAGTCTTTGTGACAATCTTCTGCTTTTGTTTCCGCCAGTCCCACCTGCACGTTTCGGGAACTCCGAACGACCGCGATGCGGCCCGATTTCCGTCTGTTTCGGCACATGCGATGACTTTTTTTTTAAAAGCGGCATCGTGGTGCACTCATCGAGTTTCTTGAGTCGGCCCTTCCATGCCGTCGATGCAAATGAACTACAAGATGACGAACTCCTCAGCACACGTACGAAGTGCCGCACATGGGAAACACATAGGCAGAAATGGCCGACGCGCCATGTCGAAGCACGTAGGGGGCGGCCATTTTAGAAATACCGATGGCAATAGAATGACTGTATTCATTTTTTTTTTCGCACTCGATTTTAACGTGCATGCGATTCATGAACTCACTTAACCGGAAAAAAAGTGCACATTAGATTCGAGTAATTACGGTATATAAAATGTTGAAGGGGTCGACTACTAAAACATCAGCGGCTTGGTGGCGTGGCTGCCACAAAGTCCAGCTACTTGGACAGGTGCAAAAAAAAAATTTCACCAACTGAACCTAAGAAGTGTAGCTAGTTCAAATTCCTGCGGCAGGGAAGGCGGCTGGTGAGTGTGCGCCCCAACCGACATTTAGAGAGTCATTCTGAGCATTTTGGTATGCTCTTACCATGCTCTGTATTTACTATACTTGAGTCATGCCGGAATGTAATTTTAATTTGATACTGATAAGTGTAATTTGATACCAGACTAGTGACACGACTCTGCTTGTGATAGCACTAAAAGTACTCCTTGGATAGGCAACTAGTTCGAATTAACCAAGGTCCATGTTTTAGGTTTAATTCAAGACAGTTCTACCTTATTCAAATACCTCATTTTGCTCAGACTAATGCATCAGTCTGAATTACTTGGTGATATGAATTAAGAAGGTTCGATTGTATTTCACCTGCAAAAGTAAAAAACTTTGCAATGACACAAAACATATTGATCCGTACACCCTGATGTCGAATAGAAACAGCCGTAAAGGTTCAAGCAACTAATGGTTCTGAATTAAAACTTTATGATGAGCTAAACTAATACACACTCACTACTAGGCTAACGAAGGACACAGGGCTATAAAAAGTGCTTACCTTGAGGAACATGCTGCACACAAATGGCATTTTCTGATTGATGGGTGAGCAGCAGAACACATATCGTGCCCGTAATGGCAGGGGTACATGCTGGATCATGTCCGCCAGAAACTTGAAGCCCTCTAAGTTGCACATGAAGTAGGATGATGAATCAACTTTGCAAAGGCTTACAAAAATATCCTAGAAAAAAAAATTGAATTTGGATATCAAGATCAACCTATATAACAGACCAAGCAAGATAGACGGCAACACATGCAATAAACAATCACGCATGTGCCACAGAGCTTATCTGGTACTTAAAAGTGTGAGTGGACCTTTCGAATTTAAAATATGCTTCACCCCATGACATATTCGCATTGCAGCAAAGCTGGATTTTGGCATACATCACTGCCACAAATAGATCAACTCGCCAAAGCGCTGGGTCGAGCCTTTGAGAAGATTAATGCAGCAGTGGTGATGGCTTCACGTAAAGTCATGTTCAACTTGTAATTTGGGCATAAACTAAACGAAAATCGGACACTAAGCATCTGAAATTTAAGATGTTCTGCTGCATGAACTGCGGTGGTGTCGCGAAAGCAGCCGAATTTTCTAGCTTGTCCGAAAAATCGGCAGATGACTGTATTGCTGCATTCCTACCTTTGTGCAGCTATATGCTGGCAACACCGAAGACGGCCACATTAAGAGTACAAGCACAATCTAGAAAAAATATTTTTGCGAACTTGGGTTTCATATTCCCCTTTTGAGTATAACAAGCAGTACTTATTTATTTATTATTCACTTCTTTTATTGCCACGTAAGCCTACACAGTAACAATTGTGGGATAAAAGCTGCATATTTAGTACATCTCAGTATGGATTTCGGAAAAATAAATCATGTGAGGATGCACTCCTCAAAATAAAACATCAAATACTACAAAACATTGAAAATCGTTTATACACGGTCGGTTTATTCCTTGACCTCCGTAAAGAATTCGACAGTGTGAATCATGAAATACTGTTATCTAAACTTCATAGCTATGGGATACGCGGTACAACGTTAGATCTCATGTGAAGCTACTTAATGGATCGTTTTCAGTATGTTTCACTTAATCAGGTGACCCCTCCATATCGTAGCGTACAGACTGGTGTACCGCAGGGATCCATACTTGGCCCGGTATTATTTAACATATACATCAATGACCTCCCAAGCATTTCACCTACACCGAACATAGTCATGTATGCGGATGACACTAATCTTTTCTTTTCAAATTCATCCGTACAACAGATTGAAAAAGAAATTAATGATTATTCAGATTTATTATCTGACTGGCTGAAATTAAACAAACTTCAATTAAATGTCAGCAAAACTAAGTATATAATATTTAAACCGATAAATAAGCCGATGCCTGTCAAGATTACTGTTTTATTTAAAGGAGAGCAGATAGAACAGGTAACAACGCAAAAGTTTTTGGGGGCATGGTTTCAAGAAAGCCTCTCTTGGGACATTTATATTAATAAATTCAGCAGCGACCTCAGTAAAGTAGTAGGCTCTATATATAAAATTAGTAGTCTTATACCACTAACACTAAAGAAGGCAATGTACTACGCCCTCTTTCACTCAAAACTTAGCTATTGTGCATTAATATGGGGAACAACAACTGCAAAAAATTACAACAAATTAATAAAACTGCAAAAAAGGGCAATGCGAATTTTCGAAAACTATCACAAGAGACCGCGAGATTTACCCACACACAATCTTTTTGAGAAACACTCGTTAATCAGGGCAAATCAAATCTACTATTATAGATTACTTTTGCACATAAAAAAGCACAGGCTCCATGTTAGTAGCCTGCCTGTTTCTCCCCCTCGATATCAATTACGCCACCAAACGAGAATGCCACCACTTATGCGAACTAACTACGGGCGTCAGGACCTTGAGTATGAAGTACCCCGGCTATTGAACATTGTTGAACATCATATAGATTTTCATGCACCCCACTTTAAAAAATTTATAAAGAACTTTCTGTTACATTCCACAATAACTTATCAATAAAATATATCTGTAATTTTTTACGTGTACCACATATACAGTTTGTCCTACAATTTGAAAATTCACAATTTAATGCGTATACATAGGTATATATTCTTGGAGTGTCTGTATGATATGCTTGTTTTCATGTATGATGTCTACCTGTAATGCTTTATTTGCAGTGACAATTATGTACATGCATGCTATGATTTTTCTGGTTGCTCTATTGTTTGTATACTCCCATCGCATGCAAACATGTACACGCATGCGAATGCGCATGGGAGTAGGAGCCTCTGTCAGGCAATATGGCCTTTAGCTCTTACTCCTCTTTCTGTATCAGAAATAAATAAATAAACTAAACTAAACTAAACTAAATATACGCAGCTTGACTAGTCCCACCTTCCGAAACTATAACAGCAGCAACATGACCAGAACACCCACTTGTTGCAATATGAAAAATGTAACTACACATAGCAAACTGATAAAAAAAGCAGCAAGCAACACAGTAAGAAATGAACTCATAGCAACAAGACACTGCATTTAGTGAATCCTGACACTATGCTCTTCATAAAGATTGAGGCTAGCTGCTGCAGAGATGTGGTCTGTTTTGCCACCTGACAGCAGTAGTGGCAAACGCGATTCCAGCAGTACAGCTGCTTCAGGAGAATGGAAGATGAAACAGAAGTTCACATGTTATGACAAATGCATGCACCTATTCAGCCACTGCCACTATGTCAAAGAAACATCTCGTAATTGCTGACTGGTGAGAAAAATATGTCTATGCTCAGTTTTCTGTTGACAAGGCACACATAAAACAGTGATATTCCTTTTTTTCATCAGTGTATGTCAGCTTACAGAAATAATAGTAATATTAATAATAAAATTATTATTATTACTATTATTATTATTTATTGTGGTGCTTTTATGTGCCAAAACCCTGATATGATTACAAGGCACACCTCAATTTATCTTTACGAGCTGGTGTTGCTTTACGTGCACTTGGAAATGATAGAACCTGGATGCTCTTGCATTTTGCTTCCATTGACAGGCAGCTGCCATAGCTGATAATCGAACTAGCGTCCTCGAGCTTAGCAGCATGACACTTTACCTGCTAAGCTACCACAGTGGGTATTCAATGGAAAAGAAACGCACCACAAGATTGGCCAGAGTTGCATGCGGCAAATGATAAGCAAAGAGCTCAATTTGTTCAGCAGTTGGGTGCAGTCCGGCTGCTTCGATCTGCTCCACAGAGGCCCCAAGAATCTGCTTCAGCGCAGGTAGATCTTGTGGCTTCATCGTTGTTGCACGACCAACCTCGTACCGGCTACCGTAACGGCCGGCTCGGCCTGCAATCTGAAGGGCCTGCAAGAAGCAAAACCACGAAAACAAAGGTGGCTTGTAACAGACTGCAATCGTCAATGTACTGCAATCAGACAGACAAAAGGAAGGCTTCAATCGTAGCGTTAACGATCTCATTTTTACCAAGCAGGGGCCAGCAAAATACGGTAAATGTTCCCAACACTTTCCAACAATGACCTACCTCCTCACTATTTGGAATTCATTACAAACTGACACATTTAATAAAAGCTATTTCGCATATGAGGAAAAAAAGCAATATTTCTTCCAATAATTCAGCAAATAACAATAATAATAATATTAACGCCTGGAGTTTAACACCGCAAAACTACAATATGATCGTGAAAGACGGCATAGTGGAGGGCTCTGGTAATTTTAACCATATGGTGAATGTGCTCAGACAATGCACTGTACATCGGCCTTTCCACCATTTCACCTCCCTCAAAACGCAACCACCACGGCTGGGAACAAACCTGCAACCTTCGAATCAGCAGCAAAGCACCGTAACCCCTACACCATTACAGCGGACTTTGGCAAGTAAATTATTTATTCTACAGTTTTCAGGTGTATCCCATACATGCATTACAATCTTCGCAACAGAAAATGAGGCAAGAACAACTGGAAAGGTTAAGAAAGACTTCATTTTTGTGCACCCAACTGTAAGCACTGAATTTGCTTATGTGCGCCCAGTATATGCTCTGAAAATCTAGCACGGACACATCCCTTCTGCACACTACAACTAATGACCTTAGTAAGAAGGAGGACAAAGCAAACAGACACACCATATCTTAAGCCTGGAAAAATATAGTGAAATGAGCATATGAGATAGATTTTAGTGTGCACTGCATGGCAAGCAAGAAAACCCTCCATAATGTTTTACTGCAAGAACGTGGCGAATGGGGTATTTTAATTTTACCCTTTCTTCAGTTGCTTGAGCTGAGCATGTTTTTTTTTGTTCTTAGTTATGCTGCTGTAAGCTAATAAGGAGCTATAAATGAAGTCCTATCTTAATTACTAGTCTGTAATTACATTATATAACCACATAATAAACAAAATTGTGATGAAGCCATCAGCTCCAGCAACACATTAGGGTCAGGTGTGTGCAGTCAAGTTTAAATTACTATACGTCAAAAGCCAATTTCAGGATCAAGGTGCTAAATGTTCGGGCGGATATAATATTGATGAGACGAGCCAGAATGTCTAATTAGAAACAAATTATCAGAAATATTTAATTGATTGGTAGTGAATTAGTGTACATCGTTTTTCACATTAATGCATTTTAATGTTCCCACTTTTACACCAACATTGAAGCCCCAGAAATGCACAGAGTTGCCAAATATTATAGCTGCAAACCGGAAGACTACCTGAGATGTAGAAATAGTGTCCATCTGTCGTTCCCCCCGCTCATTAAGTGAGGGCTTCACGAGCGAGTAGAAGATGACACGACCAATGCTAAGGTTGAGGCCCATACCAATAGCATCAGTGGCAACAAGCACTTTGCATGGATGAGAAGGGTCATTGAACTTTTGTGCTTGGGCCAGCTTGGTGCCAGGTGGCAGTCCACCGTAGATGACTGCACATTCCAGACCTTGCCGTTCAATTTGTAGGCTCACTTGGTAGATGTCGCTCTTATTAAAGCACACAACACAGTCACCTGGCTGTATCTTTTCCAAGCTTTCTGCAAAATAATAAAAAAAAAACATGCGGAAGTCTTCTGCAATATGCTCCAACTTCAACAGTAATAGCAAGAAGAAAAACAGCTTAAGCACAGAAACTGTGAACCATGCTGCCGTCCCTGAAAAAGTGATGAGAAGTTGTCAAAGAATGTTGATGACAATGTCTGGACAAGAGAACCTGCCATTGTCAAAGCATACAATACAGACCCCTTGGACAAACTATTAGCTCCTGCAACATTGCCGGTTCAACAACTTTTCATCCCTTCAAACCCACGTTATCTAACAAACTTCTGTATCGCTCAGATTCGCTGAAGAGTAGGCTTGCGCGGATATTCAAGTGCTCTGAATATTTGAATGAATATTACAGTATTCGAATTCACTTCAATTCGAATTTAAATTATTTAAAATTTCCAAGTATTTGAGATGAACAGATAGACATATATTAGCCCGCATATAACCTTTGTAAAGGTGGTTTTATTTCAGTGAAGCAGTGCTAAGCCATGAAAGCAACCTGTTCAAATGTATTAGTCAGCATATTACTCCCTTCAATAGTGACTTCACAGCAGTAAAGGATTGATAAGCCATGAAAACACCTACCCAAGAGAAATCAGACTGCCGCGAAGTCCGACTTCAAGATTTAACTATTTCGTTACCACGCATAATCAAATCGATCACCGGTGATCGACACGTTAAATGGTCAATTTTGGCAAGTTGAATTTGTTTCTGGTGCACTCAGTACTTTCTAGTAGGTAGTTCAGCCACTTGACTTTCAGAATCAATTTGAATTGGCTCAGATTGGCAACATGGCGATTTTTGACAAATTTTTGTGCGAACCAATGTACATGTGTTGTTGAGAAAATGCACTTGGCTGGCAAACTTGACAGAAGTGCGTACCCCTCGTGATTTTGCAACTGTAATGTCAAAGTTCTGTAATTAAAAGAGCCTTTGCAAGTCAAATATTACATTAAGGTGTCAGCTTTGCAATCTGACAGTATCTAACAGTAATAATTGCCAGGAAGTTTGTGCTAGCTCTTCAACAGAGAGCTGTTGCTAGGAGTGAGGGAAAATATATTTAAAAAAAAATATTCTTGAAGGCCCGCTGCATGTATATCATGTGGAGGTGGCCTTCTCAGCCAGTTTCCAGCAGCTTTGGTTTAACTTGCATCAGTATATCAGACACAGGACCGCATCTAGTCTCACTAGTCACTCCTATGGTGTCATCACAAGCGCATGGGTGTGCACCTGCACTGCAAAAAGAAAAAAACATGTGCTGCTCGAAACTGTCTTGCAACCGCACATGAAGTGAATGAGGATGAGCTTAGAGTCTGAGGAGGCCAGCACTTCAGCCTCAAATTTTATGGCGACAATGTCTTGCGACAGCCTGAGACATCCACAGCCATTTGTAGGTTTGTTTTGTTTACGGCCTCAAACTGTCTCCTCCGCTGCAAATGCGTAGCTGCTCACCTTTGTGCACAATCTTATAGCTACTTTGGTTATGTGCGAGGCTCACACATCGCTGGGGCGCGGTGTGCTGGCGCTGGCTGCGGAGCTTTTCCTCTCGACAAGAAGGAGACCGGAGTAGATCTTGGCCCTGACCAAGGAGCAGCGCGAAATGTTTTAGGACTGCACACAATATTGTTCTTTTTTTGAATACAATGTGCAAAGTGAAAAGAATAACCCTTGGATTCATATGTTCGAACGCCAACCTATGCAGAGTGAAGTGACTCATGGATAGAGGAGACGCTAGACGAAAAAGCGAAGTTCTTCACACGTCTGATTTATAGAAAGAATGTTCACATCACAGGCATCCATCTATACTGAAACAGCTGCATGCTGTTATCACACACACAAAAAAAAGAACTACTGAGAAAAGTGTAAGAGCTCACTCGTGTTTCACGAAAAACCAAGCAATGCTTCACTGCATGGCACGAGCAACGAAGCAGCACTTTGGTTCTGATTACCAGCTGGAAACCAGAAATTTCCCACTTTTCACAATTTTATTCCTTTTAAAGTACTTTTGTTGTCCGAAAACATCATTTTTCGGAAAGAGTATTTCACTGAGAAAAATTAGGTCAGCTACAATGCGTGCTAGAATACTCTTCAAACTGGCAAAAAAAATTTTCCCAGACATATGAAAAATAGCCATTTTCAAGCAGTAACGAAGGAGTTAAATGAACACACTACCCTCACATCGATTCATCATTTTTTTAAGTTAGGAAAGTCGTTATACAGGCTTACATGCTCGAAGTATAGTAAAGTTTAAAACATAACTCATTTTACAGGTTATCATTTGCATTCCTCGAAAGTCAAATCCTGCTACTATTCAAAGTTGTTCCCACTTTCCTTGGAACCCCGTCCCTGGGCCACGGACATAAAGGCAAGACATGTGCACAGGCCTTGTTTAAATTTTTAAAAAATATTGTGCAGAATATCTAGATCATGACAAATATGCCCATTTTCCTTTATAGTACGCAATACATAGTAATCGAATTTGATTCAAAATTTTTCGACCAAAATCACTATTCGCTTTGAACCTGAAGTTAACTATTCGCACAAGCCTAGTGAGGAGTGATCTAAATGAAAAATGCTATGTGCTGCAGAGAATGAACAGAACAAGAACAACAAATTTCGTATGGCCCTTTGAAGCTGTCAACCAGAATGTCCTACTGTGATTAGTGAAACTTTAGAACTACACCCGCAATGGCAAGTACCACTTGCAAAATTACTATTAACGCAGTTTTATATTGCAATGCTACATTTGGGTGACCAGGGAATCAGAATATGTGCCTTCACATTAATTCTTTGAAGTCTGAAACCATTCTCTCACCTTCCATCTATTCTGACCTGAAAATAAAACACTCAAAACTCAAGTAAAAGTAGTTCTTCCATAGATGGCCCATAACGCACTTGTCCAGCAGCGCCTGACCACAAAACCCTTCAGCCATGTCTTGTTGTCGAGCAGCAGTTAACAACGGGCCATAAAGAGTTAGAAAAAGCCGAGCGAAACTTTAAAAATGTAACTTGCCTTCACTTGACAAGGCTTTCATAAGCATACAAGCTAGAAATTACTGAAGGCCACAACCCATATAATCACATTTAGCTGACCTCTATTTGTCAAACCTTGCCAGAAAGAAAAAAAAAAAATCACAACTGGTCAAGCTGCCAAATACTATATAAAATGCACATTTGAACACACTGTGGCTGCACGACCAAACCTGATTGATTGATTGATATGTGGGGTTTAACGTCCCAAAACCACTATATGATTATGAGAGACGCCGTAGTGGAGGGCTCCGGATATTTAGACCACCTGATGTTCTTTACCGTGCACCCAAATCTGAGCACACGGGCCTACAACATTTCCGCCTCCATCGGAAATGCAGCCGCCGCAGCCGGGATTCGAACCCGCACCTTGCGGGTTGCACGACCAAACCTATGAAAAATGAAAACCTATACCAAATCTATGAAAAATGTTCATAATGTGCACCTAAATCTAATGTACAACTCATTTGGCAACACAAGTCCGCATGCCTTCCATTCTGGTAAGTAAAAGTAACATGCATCCTACAGAGTTTATGCAAGTGAATGTAAAATTATTTATACTTTGTGTTCATTGTTAATCTCAGCTCTTCATCACTGTGTAAGGATTAATAATTATTTGTGTTAAATGCCCCGAAACCACAATATGATTATGAAGGACTCCATAGTGAAGGGCTCCGGAAATATTGAACATCTGGTATTCTTTAACATGCACCTCAATCTAAGTACACAGGTGTCAAGCATTTTGCTTCCCTCCGAAATGCAGCTTCCATGGCCGGGAATTGATCCAGCAACCTCACTGTCCAAGAACAATGCATCAGCCTCCTTGCAGCCTATTATGTTTCATAGTCCGCGTTTCCTAACCTGCTCGGCTAACATCGCAAATGGGTGCCCCCTGCCCAGACTAACCACTATGACAATTCATCATGTGAGGCATATACGTCTCCGAAAACATGTGAGGAAAAAAGTTTATAAAAATAAAAATCAACCCTCAAATGTATAAGGGGGCACATTGGTCTTTGGGACACAAAAGTGACAAAAAAATTCATTTTTTAAAATTGACATATTTGGTTTCTGCAAGTTTTTTCTATCTCTCTGCAGATTTTCACACACCAGGAAGTGGTAATTTTTTGTATTGTCATTCTAACTGTCCAGATTCTTGGTGCTGTTAACATGCAGAACCTGCACAAAATGGGGAACCGACTTTGAGGCTTCTTTATAATTTGCCAGCACCTGTATTAGTAGCTCTGCTATGAATTTATGAGCACCTTTATGAGGATTGCAAAACATGTGCACCATCATTGCTGCTTTTTGATGAAGCTGTGTGTTTTTAGTTTATTTCATTTTTCTCAAAAAGGCAAATTTATGACTTCAATTTTGAGGCCCCAATATCTCTGCAGCTAGGGCAGGTACAATAATGATTCTTTTTGCAATGGAAACATGTATGTGTGTAGAATGCAAGTATGGGAGCAGAATTTAGAGAACAAGCATTTCTAATTAATTACTCATCAAAATTATAACACAATTTCAACTGCTTTTAAAAATGAATAGTTCATTTTGCTGTAAAGTAACCAAGAAGGCCTAAAAACAAAAAACTCTTGCATACTTTCAATATATAGGTAGTCTATGTTGGCATGTCTTAAATATAACTGTTAATTGAGCACTTTTTTTCTATGGTGGCATTAAACAATAGGGAGTGAACTTAATTTATCTCAGGAACAAGATGAGTTACAGGAAAACTAATTAAATATTTGAAATCAGCAGAAAAAACCACATATTTCTGTGCAGTTTGATCAAGATCACGGAAGAAATAAACAAAAAAAATGTCTAAGACTAGTCTGCCCCCTTAAATATGCACTAACCAGTTTACACAGTGCAATCAACATGAATGTATTATAAGTGACAGGTGTTTCTGCCCCATGAAAGAAAAGGCTTACAGTTTCGAACATTTGCTCGTCTAACATACTGAGTGCTCTTACGGTGGCTTTTGGCGTGAATTAAACATGAGAGATGGACAAGCACTTGTCCGTCCAACAAGTCACTCTATTGAGTGCTCATGCCTCCTAAGCATCCACAGGCCAATGTCAAATATTAAATACTGTATGAGATGGTGGCATTATCTGTGTGGTTTTCTTTTTTAATGCTGCATGATGCATCAACACTCCATCACATTTTTGCGCACCAGTTCCCACACTTCAACCACATTGGAATGATTGCAAAACAAAAACAAGGGGTCAAAGGTGAACATTCGGCAGAAGTCTGCCCGGTCGGGATAGAAACTAGAGGAATGAAAAAACTTCAACCAAAATATATATTGTGAGCGCTGACTATGTACTTCATCTTCATCTGTATGACCAAACCATTGTAGTGATCATCATCGTATGTCACGCGGACTGGCTCGCTGGCTCGTCACGAATACAGCACAATATTAAAAAAAATGGGACATTTCGAAGCCAAACAGGCTTCTTCTTTAAGAGGGAAGGCCCGAGATGTTCGGCGCTGATATATTTAGCATAGCTATTATATGTCCTGACATGTATACGAACATCTCGGGCCTTCTTACCCTTGAAGAAGCCGGCTCAGCTTAGAAACGTCAGGATTTTTCCTTGAGGCCAACTCCAGCAATTTTTGGAGGTCGATGGATCTCAATGAAATTCACTGGGTATGTTCATTTGCACATTTGCAACATTCATGCCAAACTGCAGGCTTGAGAGTTTTGCAGATTCTTTTCAAATGATTTATAGCTTGCCTCAAAATGCGAACCTCGCATGCCAGAATTATTAGCAACATTCTTTGTGTGAGGTTCATTTTTACATGGCGGAAGTGATGGAACTACTGTGCACTGCAGCATCTGCTTGTCTGCTATGGATTGTGTAGGTTAGGCCGGCGCTTCCTTGATTGAGAGTGCGATTCACTTTTCCATGTTGGTGTGCGTGCGATAGATAGCAAATGGTGTTGTGTTGCGTCGCACACACAAGCCATCATATATTCATCATAACAGCGTAAGCATTTTAGCCAATCACCGCAGGCACAAACTTGTACGGCCTGAACAAGTAGTGCCATCTGGCGGCGTCATGGGTAACCAGCCACATTCGGACAAAGTATTACGTCATATGTAAAAGCGCACTCTGTTAGATTTCTGTTTCAGTATTGCGGTTTTTTGCTAATTAATTTTTTTTTTTTCAAATTTGTTGTGCAATTGAGCGATTGGACTTGTGACAAGAGTGTCTCAAGAACATAAAAGCACCATTACTCTGACATGGTAAAAAAATTGCCGGAGTTGGCCTTTAAATATATTTTAGTTAGAGTTTTCTCATTGCTTCGAAAAAAAGGGGATTTACCTCTGCTGTTGGGAAATAAGCACATGCTAGATATATTTTGCAAGTATGATAAGACACCCTTCAAGATTGTAACAGGAATCTTGACAATGCATAAGAACCTACTCAAGTAGCTTTTAGCCCAATATGATCATCGATCCCTCATGTATGTAACACAGGAAATTAAAAGTCATTTGACTGATTGATTGAGTGCTTTAATTCAGGGTACAACTTTTAGACGACGTCAATCAGTAAACTATTTCTCATGCATAACTTTGTACACAGTTCGCATACGTGTCACGATATGTTCCCACTTCGCCATTGTTTTGTCACTATGCTTTGCTTAAAGTGAATGAAGTCTATATTTTTCATCTTTTGCAGCATAATAAAGTTAATCATTTACATAATCAAAGCAATATTTTGACTAATGATACATACCATTTTCGAAAACAAAGCCTGCGGGTCCCTAAGACGCATACTAACTATGGCAAACAAAAATTAACATATCAGGTCACTGTGTCTATGAATAAATGTCTATAAATATTAATTTATGCTTCAATAAAAATATTGAAGAAGAAAACAAAGAAATATTTACTCGACTCTGGTCTCTGTTAGATATAACATTTTCACTGCTATATGCTTAAGAACAATTAATTTTCTTGTACTTGCAAGTGTAGCTAATTTATCTATTTACCGTAATTACTCGAATCTAATGCGCACCTTTTTTCCGGTTAAGCGAGTTCATAAATCGCATGCGCGTTAGAATCAAGTACAAAAAAAAAGAATACGGTCATTCTATTGCCATCAGCATTTCCAAAATGGCCACCCCCTACATGCGTCGGCATGGCGCGTCGCCCATTTCTGCCTATGTGTTTCCCATGCGCGGCACTTCGTACGTGTGCTGAGGAGTTTGTCATCTTGTAGTGCATTAGCATCGACGGCATGGAAGGGCCGACTACAAAGACTCGAGTGCACCACGATGCCACTTTTAAAAGAAAAGTCATCGCGTGTGCAGAAACGGATGGAAATTGGGCCGCATCGCAGTCATTCGGAGTTCCCGAAACGTGCGTGCGGGACGGGCGGAAACAAAAGCAGAAGATTGTCGCCAGCAAAGCTTCACGCAAAGGCTTCAGTGGACCACAGCAGGGTCGGTTTCCGCAAATTGAAGAGCTGCTCGCCGAGTATGTGCTTGAGCAGCTAGCGGCACAGTGGCCCGCGACGACAGAACTCTCCAAGTGCGGGCTATGCAGTTAGCCTTAGAAAAAGGGCTAATGCGGAGCCAGTTTAAAGCAAGCAGGTGCTGGCTAACTAACTTTATGAAGAGGAAAGGCTTTTCCCTCCGAAGGTGAACAGGCATATGCGAAAAGTTTTGCGGAGAGGTACGATGAAAAGCTTCACAGTTTTCACAGGTTCGTCCTAAACTTGTGGCACAACAACGGCTACCTGCTAGGGCAAATCAGGAATGCCGATCAGACGCCTCTTTACTTCGACATGCCTGGCACTACAACCATGGAGAAGAAGGTGGCGAAGCAAGTTCGCGTGCTGACATCGGTCCACGGTAAAACTACAGTGACGGCAATGCTCTGTTACACGTCAGATGGGCACAAGCTTCCCCCGTACCTTATATTTAAATGGAAGACGCTCCCGAAAGGAGTCGTTTTTTCTAGTGGTGTGATCGTGCGGGCCGGCGAGAAAAATGGGTGCGCGTTGCAATCGATGTCTTACTTTTTTTTGTTGTTGTAGAAATCGGGTGTGCGCTACAATTGAGGGTGCGGTAGAATCGAGTAAATACGATATTATGTCATGTATGTAGTTATAATGTTTTGTTAACTGTCGCCAGACTGTACAATGCAGCTGAGGCCTTTGTCAGGCACCCCAGCCTTTAGTCCCGGCTTCCTCCTTTGTATGGAAAAAAAAATAAACTTCACTGCACTTCACTTCATAAAATAGCTATTCTAAATATATTCCAATAATAGGTGCTTAACATACTTGACAGGTACTTACCAAGTGCCCTGTTTTCAATTGTTAGCTGCGTCAAGCGCTTGTACTTCCGAACCTATAAAAAATAGAGCATAATAAACAGACAGGAGTGATTCCTGGACATTCAACATTCCAAGTCAACAATGAGACTGTAATATAGTGCACAGCTCTGGATTGTCTTTGCTCACCTGTGCTTCTGGTGCACTTACAGCAAGTACCCCCATGAGCTAAAGTATATGGAACACAGGAACGCGTGCTACAATCATCATCAGTTCTGTCTAGTGGCGAGCCATCTTATGTTGAGTTCACTGCTCAGAAGGAATTGCAGTAAAAAGCATTACACTGATGGCATTCCTCAGAGAAAGGCTCCTAACACCAGATTGCTCGCTACTAGAGTGCTGAAATAGCAAAAGTACACAGATGACAATAATCCACTAATTTTGCTCACAAGTGTACATGAGGATTTGTCCTTAGGTTCAACAATAGTATGAGATAGTAATTAATCACCCTTTTGCATGGCTTTCTATCTTTTTGTCCCCACACACAATGAAAGCTGCACAGGGGGGAGTGGCAAAGCACCGAGCAAAGGTTATAATGCAATGTGGCCTAGGAAACTTCTTTTGTTTTGGTTTCTTTGAACATCATCACTGCTCATTACAGCTCAGGCATGCCTCGTGATCTCTAGAAAGATTCATGTAGCTAGGGTAGCCTTGAGTGACACACACAAGGAACTATATCGAGAGCTTGGCTTCGAACTAGCAAAAAGGCTTACTGTAGCTTGTCAAGGCATGCAGTGGCACACTGCAGTGGCTTGTGTAGCTACACTCTGCAGCAGGAGCAGCAACATGCATGTGTATAGCGGAGCATCCGGTAATTGCATGAAGGGGCAGGGTGCAAGTTCGCACTTCTGCATTGTGGTTTGGCCGAGCTACGTGAGAATGCAGCATGGGCTAGCCTTGTCCTGCACCAGCTCAACCACAAGATAGTATTAGCCAAGTACAGAGGCTGTATACATATATATATATATATATATATATATATATATATATATATATATATATATATATAGACGAAGGCTGGTCCACCAGCTAAAAACGTTAAGTAAAGACGCCTCCACGAAAGTTTCGTCGTCTCTTTCTTGCATATATATATATATATATATATATATATATATATATATATATATATTGAAGTTGTTCCAGTTAGCTCAATGTGGAGCCATGTCTGCAAAGGCACAGTTTGCAAGACGCGTAAAAGTGAGCTAACATGATTTGGCAAGTGTACATGTGGTTTATTTAGAAGTTGAAAAAAATGCACTAGCAAGCGCTGTCACAGTGGGCTTAAAACAAGACAAGTGGTTCGCTCAGACACATAGTCCGTAAAAAAGTATTCATGTAGTATGCCTTGTGCTGCAAAACATGAATGTAGGAGAAAGTTTTTCACCATTTCCATGAGATCATAAAACTCCCTACTGCATTCAGTGCAATTATTCTTTTGCTTAAGTGTTCATAAAGGCCTCATCTATACATTGGAAATGTTTTACTAATAAGTCACAAGTGTGTTTTTGCATGCTCTATAATACTACATACATCTTGAGTTAAAATATGGAGCAAGTACACTCAACACACAATTTCGGTAATGTTAGTAATATTAATTTTCATTAATTTAAGCCACCAGAGTTTTCTACAAAGGAAATTATCACTAAGAAAACTCTGGCATTCCAATTAATGCCTGCTATCAGAACAATAGGCAGCACATTGTCAATCTCCGTGTTCCTGATTTCAGATATTTCTATGCAATAGTTAAGTACTTTTTACCTTTTTAAATATCGAAGGGCTCATAGTTTAGCTGACTGCAAAGCACTTTCATACCCCTGTCAAGCGGTCAAGTGCAGTTAGAGAGAGTGCATTTCGGTGCTTTGAGAGACACTTAAAGGGGCCCCGGAATACATATTCAAGTAATCATCAAATGGCATCATTAAATAAATCAACTGTCACAAAACTTTTTGAAATCCGTCAAAAATGAGCAGAGTTATTTATGTATTTATCTATTTATAAATACTGCAATCCTATTCAGGAATTTTTGCAGTGTGGAGTAACAAGATAACAAGATCATAAAAGCAAACATAAAAAGAAAGCCAGTACATAATTTGAAAAGTTCAGAAAATGTCTGAAAGCAAAAACGATGAACTTAACATTCCGCCATACAAAACTAACGAAACGTATAAGGGGTTACAGAGAATTGGACTATCAATTTATGCAATCTTGTTAAGAGATGGAAGAAAATTAAGCTAAAGAAGATTGCAAAAGTTTGGCATTGATTAGTTTATTTCAGTCTTTTAAAGTTTACAGAAAGAATACTTCAAACAATTGTTAGGGTTACAAAGGGCATTATTGTGACTCATGCCTTTGTCGTGTAGCGTGTCCAGATTAAAATGTAAGGATTTTGCAAGATCTGCCTTCTAGTGTTCTTTTACCAGCCGATATAGAAATTTTAGTGTGTTTAAGCGGTTCCTTTCAGTTAGTGTTAATAAATTAGTCTGTGTTATAAGTTCTGTAATCGAGGTTCGTCCAAGTTACCGAGATTCATCACACCTTTCAAGGGAATTTTCTCTATTTAATGGTGCTGAGTCGATTCAGGTGCCGAGTTGCTATTTAATGGCTTGAAGCAGGGAAAGAGTTTGAAACATAGAACCCAGGATGAACCAAAGCCGAAAGTTTGAGCCATACCTTATGTGCACATGGTCGCGCTCCGCTTGAAAAGAATCGTCAAAAAAATGGTTGAGGGTTGTTTTTACAGCAAGAATTAAGCTAGGGTCCCTTCGTAAGAGAGTGAATTCCGGAAACACTTTAAGCGTTAGGTGCAATAAGAACCATGCAAAAAAGTTTGTAGATTGCATTATAGGTGTTGCGTACAGCCTTTCTTTATCATGTGGTCGATGCTACATTGACTAGACATACCGCGCCTGAATAAACACCTCAGGGAGCACGCAAATCTCATGCGCGGATCTGAGGGCAGCCGCTTGGCTAGTCACTGTGCCAAGTGATGGTGTACCACCACCCGTTTGATGATTGTCAAGTAATGTTAAGATATGGCAACAAGAGGGCATGCAAAATATACAAGGCTTTTTTCATTTCCAAGACTAGAACAGAGTGTGTGTGCCTCATCTGTCAACCTGTTAAACAAGGAATACTGGTATTCTTTGAGCAGAAGCGTCATTTTAATATGTGGATAGGCTTTCTTGCACATGTGTCGTTTTCTCTTTCCCACTGTTGCTTTATCTCCTTGCCCGTTCGAATGTGTATATATATATTCCCGCCAACTCAGCAATAAACTGGTTGCAAATGTGCCCCGCTCTGTAATATCCAATTTTGTCTGAAATGCACACTTAAAAGGGTTTTCCTTCTAGAGTGCCCAAGTACGCTCTAAGAGTTCTTGTAGGAAACATTATGCTCTTGAATGTCCATATCTGCTACACCTGAAAGGCCAGACTGGCCACTAAAGCACATATGCTGTCACATTCTCACCAAAAAATGAAGGTGTAGACAAAATAACTGCAGGTCATATTAGCTTATACAGTATGGAACTCCGATTATACGACTGTCAAGGGACCACACAAAACTGTCATATGATCCGGGCATCGTATAACCGACAAGACAAAACAAGAGTACAGACAGTGACGCTCAGTCTTAAACAAAAAATGAGCACAGACAGCCAACCTTGTGCTTCTCCAAGGAAGGTAGACTAAATTATTCTTGACAATAGCAGCATTATTTAGTTAAACTAGGTGCAAGCAAAATCTTTATTCTCAACTTTAAAAAAACTGGATCCTACATACATCTTTCTCCCAATAAACTGGATCAGAAAATTGCCTGCACCTGAAAATAAAACCGAAACTGCACAGCCTTCCATAAGAAGAGTTAGACACAGTGTCATCACCATCACAGAATGGCGATGAACTACGAGTTCATGAGGTTGCTTAGAATGCCTTTGTGCTAGACTGAGCTGTGCACACTGTAATTTGTTGCCTTGTGAAGTGCAATTAGTGATATCCTGCTGTTATAATGAACATTAACATCAAGTCAAAGTTATTTTGCACAGTGAAAATAGTTGCATCGCGCCCTTTTGTGTGCTCAAGCTTGTGACTGCGAGTGCCACAAACCATGGCAGGAGATCAGCTGTATGTAGAGCAGGAAAAGTTTCCACAGACTGAAAGCATGAAAACATGAATCAGAATCTCAGGAATAAGTTTTTCGGCCAGCTGAAGCTATTCTGAACAGAGCTTCTCTTGGTAACAACGCTGCGTGCGCCCACCATTGAGGCGCATTCGGTAGTACATAAACTGCCAGGAGAATAAACTTTCCATTCTAAGAAGACATCCTGTCTCAATCTCTGCTTTAATAATCATGAACCAAGGAGAACGCAAGTTAATATTTTGCAGTCGTGACTATTTGGATACCTATCGATGCGAGTGAAGGATTTTTTTTTTAAAGGCGGAATTGTAAAGTCATTGTAAGATGTGGGGTCGGCGTAAAACTGTGCCATATAACCAAGGTTTTTAATACAGTATCATAACAAAAATTTTGCCGGGACCAAACCGACCCATCGTATAAAGAGGGTCACTGCGAAACCAAGAGATGTGCAGCCAATTTTCGTACGATTTGTGCAAAAAAGTTTTCTTACTTTTTAACAATTGCAGACATTTCAAGACCTTCATGCCCATAAAAATAGTAAGCTCCACACAGCATGCTCACAATCTTTTGCGGGCATTGCATCAAAATGTTGTAAAGCTCAGTTTTGGTACTGCAAAAATAAGACTGCCAGGTGAAGTAGGCATACTGACGTAATATGATGGCCTGTGAATCATCTTTCGGCATGCTAACTTTAGCAGACAATTTCAGAGGGCTAAGCCAGATTTTTTGCAGTGCAGCACCTTATGAAGGTGAATAGTGGTGATGATTACCATTACTACTGCCTACACAATGCTCAGTCCCAAATAAAAAAAAGAAAAAAGCCAATAAAGCGTGAACAAGTACAAAATTTTAAGGATGTTTCTCTGAAAATAAGTATAAAAATAAGCACCTCATATATGAAATGAGCAGACATAGACAAATGAAGAGAAAAATTAGGCCAGGGTTCTGTTCCTATCCCTCTCTATTTTATGTACTTGCGATGTCATAACTAACCCTAAAAAATGCGTTATATACCCAAAAAGAGACAGACTGCCTTTTAGTAACTGCCTTAAAGATACAAAAGAAAGACACAAAAACGCCTCTGCCTGTACTGTATGTAGAACTGAAGCATTGGTGGTTTTAGAGCGAAATTCTTACTGCATGGCAAGTAGTACAGTGCTCAGCCTTCATCTTCATTCATGAACAGCGTGAATGATTGTACGTCCCAAGAACCTTGTGACAGGTGCATCGCATCCTCAAAATTCGTCTTCAAACCCCATCTTGGCAGAGGCACTAGCAAGCATAGACCCAATTTCTCAAAAAGATGTGCTACTTTCTTACTGTTTAGCATATGTATGAATATTGTCCTTAACAAGCAGAGTTTTACACATCCGCAATTCTTGATTTTCTTCTTTCTCCTGTCCATTATGCAGTGTCATGATCCAATATTTACAGACACTTCTATAGAGCCTCCTATAGAGCTAAGTTCATTAAAGCTAGTAGTATTTTCATTCATAATATGCATACTTTTCCCTTTTTTATCCCATTCTCTTTCCCCGCTGTCATAAACTTCTCAATTCAGACAAATATCAAGCTTTCATACCATCTCTTTCTACGGGAAAAGTTGAAAACGACGACTACAGTTACCTCCAACTCTTCTCCGAGTGACGACAGCAGGTTGCGCACAAGTCCTACAGCAGCAGCTTCACCACACAGGTGAAGCTCCTTGGCTGCCAGCCCCAGGAGAGCTCGAGTCCAAGCCCATCCTCGCTGAGGGTCACGCATCATCTGAATCTCATCGATTACAGCCACGTCATCTGCAGAAATCCAGGGTGTAAACTCATTTTGAAGCCCTTCCCTTGCCAATAGAGAACACTTTTGAGCTCCTAGAGCAAACAAACACAGTCGTGGCATACTGAAAAATTTCTTTAGGAGCTTGCTCCTTCTGCTTGCGGCTTGTCCTATGTCGACGCCATGTACACCAGTGTTGCTTGTGCACTTCGGGGTTGCGCTCAAGGTCACCTCTCGTGATTCCAACAATGCTCACTAAACGGCGAGCCACCCCCCAAGGCTTCAGTTTTTAATGGCCTGCACGCTAGCCTCCCTGAAGTGGATATCAAAGAAAGGGAAGTGAAAGAAAAGTGTATCGTGGTAACTGTCTCTCTCTGAGGAGGCCACCTCAAGAATGCCACATGGGGGATGGGCAGTGGGGGAGAGAAAAGAATGTGAAAGACAGAGGAAAAGAGGAGGGTGTCAGTGGCGTTTGGCCTGGCCGCGCGCGAACGTGCGCCACATTACAAGGCGTCGGTCTTCCGGTGATTATAAGAATGCTCACTAAATGGCATGTCGTCGCTCACGGTGGCACACACCACTTTCGGAACGTCTGCTTCTTTTCTTTTCACTGGGAGCTCATGCAATGACCACACTCGGTCACCGCTTGGCCGCATGTACAACCCACAAGACAAGAAAGCAGCGTGGTGGGCTCACCATGAAGACCTTGCGGTGACAGCCCAGAAGGCCGAAGCGAAGAAGGCTCGCTCACAGGTTAACCTGGAGCTGTGGGTTGTGCATATTGTCACGGAGTCGTGACGTGGCCGAAGACAGGAGACTTTGTGTTCGGATTTAACTGTTTATTTGGGCGAACCTGTGCCCAGTAAACAAAAAGTCCGATTACAGCAGCAGTCTTGCACAGATAGCAGTCTCGGACTGATAGCGGCGAACGGAGTGTCGGCCTTCGTTCAACAACTGACAAGCGGCGAAGCGCGTCGGCATTTATACTCTTGCCATCGAATGTTCTAGCGTTATCGCTGGCGGTGGCGTAGGTTCCAGAACAATCTGTACCGTTCGCACAGTGGGCGTGATCTTATCGAAATGATCTACTACAGTCCGGAACCTTCTCGAAAACTGCAGGCGCGGTTTGCGCTGAGAATCGTGTGGTGTTTTGGGACGATAACGAAAACTTGGGAAATGGAACGTGGCATTGCCCCCCTCTGAAAAAAGGCATCGTCCCGATGCTTTAACTAAAGATGAAGGTACAATAATAATGCAAGAAAGTACAATGAATAAATTACGATAAAACAATAATACCAAAAAAAAACACTGTTCTAGTTTGTTAACACGCATTAAACGGCTTGAGGCGCGCGACATGCACGACTTCAGGTCGCGATCGGCGTCCTTGAGAGTTCGTGATGCCGTCGGGGACAACCTCGTAATCAAGTGGGCCGAGACGTCGAACCACCCTGTACGGTCCGAAGTAGCGTCGCAGAAGCTTTTCACTTAGTCCATGTCGGCGTATCGGCGTCCACACCCAAACACGTTCACGGGGCTGGTATTCCACGAAGCGTCGTCGAAGGTTGTAACGGTGGCTGTCTGTCGTCTGTTGATTCTTGATACGGAGACGCGCAAGTTGTCGGGCTTCTTCGGCGCGTTGAAGGTACTCGCTCACATCGAGGTTTTCTTCGTCGGTGACGTTGGGTAACATGGCATCGAGCGTCGTTGCCGGGCTCCTTCCGTAGACCAATTTGTATGGAGATATCTGCGTCGTCTCCTGCACCGCCGTGTTGTATGCGAAGGTCACATACGGAAGAATGGCGTCCCACGTCTTGTGTTCGACATCGACGTACATTGACAGCATGTCGGCGATCGTCTTGTTAAGCCGCTCGGTGAGGCCGTTGGTCTGTGGGTGGTACGCTGTCGTCCGGTGGTGGTTTGTTTGGCTGTATGCCAAGATCGCTTGAGTTAAGTCGGCAGTGAATGCCGTTCCTCTGTCGGTGATAAGGACCTCTGGGGCACCGTGACGTAGAACGATATTTTCGACAAAGAACTTAGCTACCTCGGATGCACTGCCTTTTGGCAGGGCTTTTGTCTCGACGTAGCGGGTGAGGTAGTCGGTAGCTACCACGATCCACTTGTTTCCGAAAGCCGACGTCGGGAACGGCCCTAGTAGGTCCGTACCAATCTGCTGGAAAGGTCGGCAAGGTGGATCATTTGGCTGCAGAAGTTCCGCTAGCCTTGTCGGCGGTGTCTTGCGTCGCTGACAGTCCCGGCATGTCCTCACATAACGAGTGACGTCGGTGGTAAGACATGGGCAGTAGTACCTTTCTTGTATCCTCGCGAGCGTGCGAGAAACACCGAGGTGCCCTGCCGTCGGATCGTCGTGCAGGGCCTGCAGGAGTTCTGGTCGCAGAGCTGAAGGTACCACAAGGAGGTACTTAGCTCGAAGCGGTGAAAAGATTTTCTTTTGTAGAAGACCGTTTCGTAGGAAGAACGACGCAAGTGCGCGCTTGAATACCTTCGGGACTTCGGCGGTCCTGCCTTCGAGGTATTCTATTAGGGCTTTAAGTTCCGGGTCGGCCCGCTGTCGTTCAGCGAAGTCGTCTGTAGTTATCGTTCCCAAGAAGTAGTCATCATCCGGGTCGTCGGGTAGCGGTTGGTCGACAGGCGCACGAGAGAAACAGTCGGCGTCGGAGTGTTTTTTGCCGGACTTGTAAATGACAGTAATGTCATATTCTTGAAGTCTCAGGCTCCATCGTGCGAGGCGACCTGAAGGGTCCTTCAAGGTGGCTAGCCACCACAAGGCGTGGTGGTCGCTCACAACTTTGAAGGGCCTGCCGTAGAGGTAGGGGCGAAATTTCGACGTAGCCCAGATGATGGCGAGGCACTCCTTTTTTGTTGTGGAATAATTTGCTTCTGCTTTGGATAGCGATCGGCTGGCGTAACTAATAACCCTTTCAAGTCCGTCAGCCCTCTGCACAAGAACGGCGCTAAGACCTACGCTGCTTGCGTCAGTATGTATTTCTGTCTCGGCGAATTCGTCGAAATGGGCAAGTAACGGAGGCGTCTGGAGGCGATGTTTAAGCTCCTGGAAAGCGTGTTCCTGTGGCGTTTCTCACTTGAATTCCACGTAGGCCTTGGTAAGGTTAGTGAGAGGATCGGCGATGCGGGCGAAGTTTTTCACGAACCGCCTATAATAGGCGCACAGGCCCAGAAATCGGCGCACGGCCTTCTTGTCAGTGGGCGGCGGGAAGTCGGCGATGGCGGCTGTTTTCCGTGGATCGGGATGAACTCCAGACTTGCTGATAACGTGCCCCAGAAACAAGAGCTCCTCATACGCAAATCTGCACTTTTCTGGCTTTAGTGTGAGTCCGGACGTCTTGATGGCTTGAAGTACAGCTTCAAGGCGCCGAAGATGCTCGTCGAAACTCGAGGAAAACATGACGACGTCGTCCAAGTACACAAGGCAAGTCTGCCACTTCAATCCTGCCAGTACTGTATCCATAACGCGTTGAAAAGTTGCAGGCGCTGAGCAAAGGCCGAAGGGCATCACCTTAAACTCGAAGAGGCCGTCCGGTGTTATAAACGCCGTCTTCTCTCAGTCTCTTTCGTCGACTTCGATTTGCCAATAGCCAGTCTTGAGGTCCATTGACGAAAAGTACTTGGCGTTATGAAGCCGATCAAGTGCGTCGTCTATTCGTGGGAGAGGATACACGTCATTTCTTGTGATTTTGTTCAGGCAGCGATAATCGACGCAGAAACGTAGGGTCCCATCCTTTTTCTTCACTAACACCCCGGGGGATGCCCACGGGCTCTTGGACGGCTGGATAATGTCATCCCGCAGCATTTCATCAACTTGTCTCTTCATGGCCTCATGTTTTCGCGTCGAAACCCTGTACGGACTCTGACGGAGTGGTCTGGCATATTCTTCGGTTATGATGCGATGTTTCGTGATTGGGGTCTGCCGAATTTTCGATGACGACGAAAAGCAATCTTCGTATTGCAGGAGCAGGGCCTTGAGCTGTTCTTGCATATTGTTCGGAAGTCTGGGATTGACGTCGAAAGCTATGGGAGGGGCTTGGTTCCTCTGAGCAGGTTCCGCAGAATCAGCGAGGGCGAAAGCACTGGTGGCTTCAATTTCTTCGATGTATGTGACCATTGTTCCTTTGTCACATGTTTGTACTCATTGCTGAAGTTCGTGAGCATAACCGTTGCTTTGCCTCCCCGCAGCTCTGCAATTCCTCTTGCGACGCAAATATTTCGGGTGACCAACAGATGCTGACTGCCTTCAACGACGCCTTCCAAGTCAGGTGATTTAGGAGCGCCGACTGAAATAATGACGCTTGAGCGAGGTGGAATGGTGACTTGTTCTTCCAACACATTCAAGGCACGGTGTCCTGACGGCGTGCGCGGCGGTAGTGCTTCTTCTGTGGGTAACGTTATCGACTTTGTTTTTAGGTTGATGACAGCACCATGGAGGCATAAGAAGTCCATGTCAAGGATGACATCTCTCGAGCAACGCTGTAGGACTACGAAGTCTGTAGGATAAATACGGCCGTTAATGGTGACTCTCGCTATGCAGATTCCTGCAGGCGTTACGAGATGACCTCCAGCTGTGCGGATTTCAGGGCCTTTTCAAGCTGTCCTAACTTTCTTTAACTTCGCGGCGAACGACCCACTGATGACAGAATAGTCGGCTCCAGTATCGACGAGAGCGGTCACACTGCGGCCGTCGATAAGAACGTCGAGGTCGCTAATTCGCCGTCTCGCGTTACAGTTAGGGCGTGGCGTCGGGTCACGGCTGCGTCGGCTTGTTCCGCTGCTTCCATGTTGCGTCGTCAGGCCACCTTCGGTAAGTGAGCTTTCGCCGTCAGGGCTTTGCCTGGTTGGCGTTGTGTTCGGAAAGCTCCGTCGCGTCGTCGTCGTCGTCGGAGGATCTTCAGTAGTTCGTCGCACAGCAACCGCACCTCCACCGGTTGCTGCCCTTAGTTTCCCGAATACGGGCTAGGAGACCGGCCCCGCGTTGGGCCGGAGTACTGCCGGGGGTGCGGTGACAAGCGGCGGCTGGGCGACGGTGAACGGGAAGGACTTCGTGGTGTCCATTGAGTTCCTGTCAGGTAGTCGACGATGTCACGTGGCTGTTCCCCTGGCTGCGGACGTGGTGCATCGACGGCGAAGCCACGCAGTCCCATCTGTCGGTACTGGCAACAGCAGTAAGTGTGCCCGGCCTCGCCGCAGTGGTAGCACAGTGGGCGGTGGTCAGGGGTGTGCCAAACGTCGGTTTCCCTCGGCGCACTGCGCTGGCCCGCTGGCGAACGGTAGGTCGTCGGTGGGGGTGGTGGCGGCGGTGGTGTCTGGCGACGGAAGTGCGACGGTGCGGCGTATCAGCGAGGACGGGGAGGAGCGTTGTGGCGTACTGCAGCGGCGTAGCTCATAGTTTCTGGTTCGGGCAGCGGTGTTTGGGGAATTCGAAGCGATTGCCGAACTTCTTCTCGCACAATGTCGGCGATCGAATCCACTTGAGGTTGCGCCGAAGGCAACAGTTTGCGCAGCTCTTCCCGCACGATCGCTCGGATCGTTTCACGCAGGTTGTCGGAGTCACTGGCTTGAGCAGCAGCGCATTCTGGAGTCAGGCGACGATTATACTGCCTGGTGCGCATGTACAAGGTTTTTTCGATGGTGGTCGCCTCGGATACAAATTCTTGGACGGTGTTCGGTGGATTCCTCATTAGTCCCGCGAAGAGCTCCTGTTTGACCCCTCGCATGAGGAAACGAACTTTCTTCTCCTCAGGCATGTCTGGGTCAGCGTGACGAAATAGGCGGGTCATTTCCTTGGTGAAAATTCCAACCTTTTCATTTAGTAGCTGAACCCGGATCTCTAGTAAAGCAGCAGCCCTCTCTTTGCGAGCCACGCTCGCGAACGTTTGCAAAAATGCGCCGCAGAAGACATCCCACGTTCGGAGCGTGGACTCCCGATTCTCTAGCCAGGTCCTTGCGGTGTCTTCCGGGTAGAAGTACACACGACGGAGCTTTTCTTCGTTGTCCCAGTGGTTGAGGGCGGCCACACGGTCGTATGTTTCTAGCCAGGTTTCCGGGTCTTCAAACGATGACCCATGAAACGTTGGTGGTTCCCTGGGTTGATGAATGACGATCGCGGGCTGGGACGCTCCGGTTGTCATAGTCGCTGCAGTAGAGGTCATGACCTTGGCTTTCCGCGCCTTGTCTTGTAGAAGCCCGTACTCCGGTGGGAGACCCTGCTGTCGGCGGCTTGTTCGCTGCTCTTGGTTGGCGTCGGTGTCTTCTCCGCGACGTGGGCTGGGTTCACGGCTCGACGGGGCCGTCCGGTACATGAACGAAGCAGCACCTCCACCAGATGTCACGGAGTCGTGACGTGGCCGAAGACAGGAGACTTTGTGTTCGGATTTAACTGTTTATTTGGGCGAACCTGTGCCCAGTAAACAAAAAGTCCGATTACAGCAGCAGTCTTGCACAGATAGCAGTCTCGGACTGATAGCGGCGAACGGAGTGTCGGCCTTCGTTCAACAACTGACAAGCGGCGAAGCGCGTCGGCATTTATACTCTTGCCATCGAATGTTCTAGCGTCATCGCTGGCGGTGGCGTAGGTTCCAGAACAATCTGTACCGTTCGCACAGTGGGCGTGATCTTATCGAAATGATCTACTACAGTCCGGAACCTTCTCGAAAACTGCAGGCGCGGTCTGCGCTGAGAATCGTGTGGTGTTTTGGGACGATAACGAAAACTTGGGAAATGGAACGTGGCAATATAAAATGCACATTGTGTATAAAAAATGTATGTACAGTCGAAACCCGCAATAACGAAATCGCTGGGAAAACCAAAAAATTTCGCTTTCGCTATAATTTCGTTGTCGCGAGTATGAGACATAAAAACAGTGATACGGCCAGAACGAAAATTTATTGCCAGAAGTCGGTCAACTTACTTTGCTGACCCCTGCCATGCAACAACTTCAAAGCTCTTTTTTTGCACTGGAAAAAGTGGTCCATTGCTACGTCTTCGTCGTGTGTGCCGAATAAAGAGCGAAGGGTGTCCATCCAAAGCAACCCACGGGTTGGGTTTCTCCGTGTGCATCTCTTCTTGGTCCTCGCTGTCGTCAGCTTCGCGCTCGCTTTCGATAATGTCCTTATCGGTCACTTCCTCGTACACGACTACGTCGTCATCGGCGCGAACGAACGCATCAACAATGAGTTTATCTTCGGCAATGATGGCAGCCTGATCGTGAAGCGACAGAAACTTCCGCTTTTTAGTTGACGGGGGCATTTTAGCAAGGCCGATGTGCCGGTAGCCACCCACTGCACTTTCACGCAAACAGCCACACACAACACAACTCATGGCACTCACGTGTGTGAGGCTAAAGAAGTGACAAAATGACAGAAGCAATGCAGGATAAGATGGTGTCGCCCCCTAATGATGTCGCTGCAAGGCTGCTTAACATGATGATGATTTTGTTGCCGTTCTTTTCTTTTTTCCGCGATCAACGGAGAATCCATTTCTGGCGTCAAGCTTTTCTCAAGCGCCACTGTAAATTAATCTTGATTTTGCCACCAGTTCCAGTCTTCTCTTCGTCGTTTTGATTGATTCCAACTGTTGGTGTTGCTTCGGCCTGTTGAGCGCGTCCGACGCCGCCATCTGCACTCCAGCATGATCATTTGCCATTGCCTGCTGCAGTGTGGCCAGGCATGCCACCAGCCACAGACCCCATCACCGATTTAAGGAAACAAAAATGGCGGTACGCCTGCTAGCGCAGAAAAAGCAGACGTTTACAAATTTTGAATGTGCATAGCAAGCATACGAGCATATTTTCAACAGTTAATCTTTGGCAGGAGGGTAAATTAAGGCCCGCACGGTGGTAGAAAATTCGTTAATGCAGGATTTCTGTCCAAAAACATTTCGTTGCTGCGAGATACGCAATACATGGGCTTCTATGAAAGTTCGCCGAGGATCTGGAAATATTTCAATACCGCGGGGATTTCGTACTCACGGGGTTTCATTATTGCGGGTTCCGACTGTAGTTCATAAAAATATATCTAGTGCATCCAATTGTAAATTGATAAACATTGTGTATGTAATGTATATATAACAACGTTGTCAATCTATATAAGATGATAGCAGATGTGTACGGAGGATTCACGGGTTACCAGATCATATCTGAGCAAGCTTCCCTAATAATATTTACTTTGAGGATATGGCAGTGATTTTTTTTTTCAATTCTTTTTTCGTCACTGTGCATGTGTTTCCCTGTAATTCCCATGCCTTTCCTGTCTGATTTCCGTGCCAACAACATTCACACAAGAGCGAATATTTTAGCATTCTCGAGTGATTTCTTTATTGCAGGTTTCAACCGTATGGTCATTTGCTAAAGCAGTGGCATAGCCAGAGGGTGGCACACAGCACCCAAGCCTCTCCCCGATTTTTTTTTGTTTGTTTGCGAAGGCATATAGAGCACAAAATGACGGTCAACCACACTCTTCAAATTAGGAAGGTGCCCCTCTCCCTTCGAAAAAATTTCTGTGTACACCCTTGGGCTCAAGCCATGTTATGCAAAACATCATTGTCTTCACCTGCCAGGATGGCTTAGTAGCTATGGCCTTTCTGCTGACAAGCATGAGGTTCACCTGGCTATGGTGATCACACTGTAGAAGTACAGCACTATTTTCACAATAATGATTCAAGACAATAAAGGTTAACCCAGAGCTTTTGACTATGCTCTTTTTCATAGCTTCAGTCTCACTGAAAAAGGGTGTCTATGCAGGCTGGTTGGTACTTTATTGCAATAATTAGATGTAGCACCGCGTATAAAACTGTAAGAAGTAGTTGACAGGAAAGAGGCGCCCCTTTCCTGTCAACTACTACTTCTCACAATTTTGTACTTACGTGGCACTACACCGAATTATTGCAATTCAGTCTCACTTTAAAGAATAAACTACCATTGATCCTCAGAAACACTTAGAAGATGTATAAACAGCAGGTGACAAGTGTTCAATGATGAAAATGATGTACCATGCTTGAAGTGCTTCTGTTTTTTTTTTGTTGTGCCTTCATATTACTGTTTTATATGTGTGTATGTGTGTGTGTGTATGTTACACATCTAATGTTTCTCTGTTTTTATTCTGTATGTATGCAGCCACACACACAGAACTAGACCAGTGCTCAATACCTGTGTTATCACTTTTCTTCTTAAGATGATGTCGAACTGGCAGTTGCTCTGTCATTCAAATTACAAAAGGAGAAATGCAAAAACACAACAGCAAGGAAGAAACACCCTGGATATTCCCACACTACCTCTGTAACACAAGTGACACATTAGGCTGGCCAGAAAGCCACCTTTCCAAAAAAGTTAGCCATACTAAAGAAAAAAAGCAGCAGCTATGATGGCCACTTATTGACACAGTACTGCTGCAAAGGTTTCTTTATGTCGCCAGAAATGCAACACTACCGGTTACATCTACTCACACGTGGTATGGACCGCAGCCATTTCAACTGTGCATGCCACATGCGGGGCTGGCTCTCCGTCAGGCAACACGCACCTCCGCTCCTCTCCTGTCACTAGGTCACATGGTGTGCCCTGAAACAGACGAGATGCTGTATCTAGCCTTTTCAGTCATGGTGAGTACAAATGAAGACGCCAACTTCAATGGCACGTCAGGCACCCCGTGTTCCAACAAATGGCTTTAAACTTAGTGTGCACATTCGTGCAGACCTACTGAGTGGACAGCTGGCGATTATTTAAAGTCATTATGCTGCGTAGTGCTGCAGAGGATCACTTTGCTGAATGCACTACTATGTTTGGCGATTGTTCAACATGATGCATTCCAAGACCAACATGACAAGTATTTTTTTTCATTGCTTGAAAGAAATACAACAAAAAACAAACAAACTGTGCATACATTTTTATGCAAGCACTGAAGCTGACTGGTGGAAGAATTATTATATAGCTAGTTATACACTCATTACCCTTAATTACCAGAACTCACAGGGAACAACACTTTCTTTCCTTTTCTTACTTGGAATGTAATACTGAGTGCCTTAGAATTATTCCACCTGAATTTGACACGTTTCTGACAGTGCATCATAATTCGTGACTGAAGGGACTAGTCTTGCCTTCATGCACAAGTTTCACCAAGCTCATTGCCGTCAATGTTTAGAAGGAATATTAAAGATGAGCTAATTATTTATGAGCCTTTTATTTACTTACGAATACTGCAAACCACATTTAGACCCGTGCAAGAGTAAGCACATCAAGCAAAAACTTGAAACACAAAGTACACAGAAATACTCATCTGAGATGTTGAATTATTACCAGTCAATTTTACGTTAAACATAATTTTTGAAAAAAAAAAGGCAAATAAACACATTGACCAATCAAAAAGAAAGCAGTAATGCATTTTGCATTCGCAATACTACTTTGCTACATTAAAAAAACCACTTAAAAGAAATTTGAGATCAAGATTAACACAAAACAAAACAGAAAGTTGATAAAGTACATTAGGTATCACATACTATCACACTAATTTTCACAATCGAAAGTAAAAAGTTACTGATAGGATGAATGAATAATTGTGTTGTTAGCATTAGCTTCCTCTGGGAAGGTGTAGTCCCTATATATATATATATATATATATATATATATATATATATGTATATATATATAGAATCGTCAATGAACGGTTGTGCAGCGCGAGCAGTCATTTTTTTTTTACTAGCAGACGCTGCCTGGGTCGACTTTGCGAGGCTACCTGTCTCGCAAGAGGAAAGGATGTGTGTACACCTTTTCCATGTTTAAAAAAATTATAAAAATGTGTTGTATTTACTTGAACTTTGTTCTCCTTAGCTCATTAGTTTGCATAGCTTTTCTTTTTCCTGAATAAAGCAAAAGCATGCTATCATTTCAACAGCACTGCTTTAGTTAAGAAATTGTGAGAAATAATGGTTTGAAGAAGACTTTTCTGCTCAGCTTCACTTGATCTATCCACCGAACCATTATCTTTGGGGGTCCTCAGACAGTCTGGTTTATGCAGTCTAACATCACAAAGCAACTCCAGCTATGAAAAATGTTGTAGTAGTGGTCGACTCCGGATAATTTCGTCCACCTGAAGTTCATCGTCCACTGACATCACACAGTACACCGGCCTTGATCACTTTGCCTCCATCAAAACGCGACTCCCATGGCCTGAATTTAAACCACAACTTTCAAATTAACAATTGAGCACAGTAACCACTGATTCACCGCAGTGGCAGAGTTCTCAGATGATGAACCCGTCCCTTTCAATTTTCATGCAAAACTAGAAAAGTGTTGTCATACGCTATCAAAATGCTTTCCTTTCATTCTCACACAGAAGTCAGGAAGCCACACTTATTGCGCCAATGTCAAGGCAGTGATAATGAGAAAGGCGATGCCCAAATGGCACGTGACAAGATTGGCCATCTAGCATACAAGTTGCAACTATACTCCACCTCACCACTATTATTCAGCACTGCCATAGAATTCCACACTATAAAACTTGAAAAGAATGTGGTGCAGCAACCATCCAATCATGGAAATGATGGAAGGTACAGGCTCCAAATTGGATTGCGTTAGCTAACAAAATGTCTTGAAGTCTTCTTTTACAGTACCAGTTTTCTTCCTTGTGCAATAACTCTATCCTGTCGCAATGCCTAAAGTGTGCCCTGGCGCAGATTGTTGAAAAGAGGTCAGCGCAAAGCCCCGAAGTAGTGTCTTCGTAGTTGAAAGTGGCTGCAGTGTGTTAAGTTTTTTGGCTTGCAGATTTACATGTGATACCATGTTTACTAGCATAATTTGCATACTTTTTTTTCACAATTTTGGGACTCTGAAAAGGTGGTGCGCAAATTACACGGGGATTTCGCAAGTGCATATGAAATGTTGTGTGAAAGCCCTAACGCAAACAGTATGTACATTAATAAAAAGCACAAGCGAAGTGTACTTGTTAATTTGAAAGTATTAGCCCATACTTTAACAAGTCCGATTAAGAATCATCATCTCGGTCGCTGCCACCACCTTGCCGTACCAAAGCGCATCACCTTCTGTTCCGTCGAGCACGTTCTAATGCCCCATTTTCTTGAAGCTCTTCTAGACAATGTTGGTAGAAACTAGGTCCCCCGATACGGCGACACCGGAAGATCTAAGCATCTGCACATAACTGAAAAGACCTTCTTTAATGGCAGGAAACTTGCATTAGCAAGCGCACTCTTCCGCTTTCTCAAGTACCAATCATGCAGATTGTCACACAAAGTATATACTTCACCTGAATGTGTTTTACTACCTGTTTACTATATACCTCAGCTACAGTAACTGAAATGAAATAGGTAATAACTGCAGCGGTCACCAACTTTCTTGCATCGTTACTATTTTTTTGCTACCTGGCCATCAACTATCTAATCTAATATAGTAGATAATACCTATTGCATTAATTTACAAGAGAAATCGTCTTAATGCATCATATTTAAATAGAAAATGATGCAGAACATATCTATAAATAAAGAAAAAAATTTGTTTTAAAGTTTGCAACCGAGATATGTAAGCCTCATTCTGCTGTTGTCAAAACGGAGAAGTACAAGACGAACAATAAGCAAGTGCTACACGCGTTCTAATAGACAATTGTAACAGACTTAGCAAACTACAACAAACTAACATGACAGGCAGATAAAAATTAACCAGATGGTCAAAATGAATCTGGAGTCCCTCATTTCAGCTTCTCATTATAATATCGAGGTTTTGGTTCATGAAACCCCAGGAACGATTATTGCCTTTTAACCGCCGATATACAAGCACAGGCACTAAGAGAATGTTAACGAGTTTGGAACCTTGTTTTGGCTGCTGTAGAAAATGCTTTCTTGTGGCATCTTTATAATTAATAGGTATGGCATATCATTTTTAATAAGTACGGCTGATTAAAAGTCATGTGCTACGCTACCAAACACACACAACTACGTAGTGTGGTATAGTGCTCTAAGCTCATATTTTTGGTAATTCATCCTGAAACACAAGTGCTCACCTGTTCCAAACATGCATCTTTAAAGTAGGGGCTATATATACTCCAGGACTCACTTACTTACGTATGCAAGGCAATAAAGAAAAAGTAGTAAACTTGTTAACTCTATGTATTCTTTGCGTTAATGACACAACGTGCAAGAATACCCAAAGTTGTGTAGTAATGAAACATTGTAGTTGACCACTATTAACAATGAAGAAATAATATGGCAAAATAAACATGGCAGCATCAGTTATTACTTTTTAATTTACTTTTAAAAGTTACTACCTATGGCTAGTAACAGCTGGGACATTAACAGTTCCTAAATCCCGTTAGTAACGGTAAAGGTAGTAAATGTTGCCACCCTCGCTGTTACTAACTACACTTACTAGCAGGGTTATAACATATGTGATACAGCATTACACACCCAAAGTTAGCAAGTATTACCGCCCTTTTCAAGAATGTATATATAATTACTGTAGCACACCACATAGTAACCGTAAAAACGCTTTAGCCGAATGGCGAAACCTAAACTTCTGAAATCGACCAAGCGTGTTGCATGGACGCAGAGAACAAAGGGAACAGTTCATGCGACAAGCCCCCGCACACCTTTGATGCACAAAGTTGTCTGTGCCGTGATGTGAGCGTGCATTCTCGCGGTGGTAGAGATAGAAAGATATGGGTAAGCAAACGTTCCGAGCAGTTCTGGCGACCCGTAAGCAGGTTTGAGTTTTCAGGTACGGTATACTAGAAACCCTAGTTTGGGGGAAGTTCTCGGAAGAAGGGACTTGCACCTGCAGTCTATTTGACTGCGCTTGTCTGCTTAGCGAGATGCGCGCCTGTCTGAAGCATCGAAAGGCCCCAAGTCTCTTTGTGTGTATGCCGGCGAGTTGGGTCAGGGAGCGCAAAATATGCAAGAAAATATTTTGTTTAGAAAAGGTGGCAAAATATTAGGGGTGAGCAAAGTATGCATTTAAATACAGTATTTGACAGTTTTAGCAAAGAGTTGTTCCCGCACCGGTCCACATTGATGTGGTGTCTCGAAACCTAGCAGGTAACTGCTTATAATTTCACATTTTCTTCATAAGTCCATCTTGCCAAAACGCGGTAGACTTGGCTGCAAAGTGACAATAAAGTAAAGTGGACGCACTACCATGCTCTGCTGAATCAGCTTTACAGCAGAGCGAGAGATTCATTGTATGTACCAATGTCCCGACAATCATTCGGTGAATCGGCAGATGCTTCGAATTCATCGGCAGAAAATATGCTTAGTGTTTCTTAATCAATGCAGTATGCTCATTTCTCTAAATAGATTATGTACCCTTTCAAGAGAAATATAAGCATGTTTGTTTTCACTGTTGTAAAAAAAAATTAAATGCCAAATCTGGAATATATGTGCAGAGAAATGCATAGCACCCTGGCGGTTGAATCGTATCGGTTCCACTTCATTCTCATGGTCACACAAACTTTTTGCTATAAGACATACATACAAAAGAAGTGAAGTAAGTTTTAATTGTAAATAGCATTACATCACTTTGTTTTGCATTCAGTAAACAAGCATCGCTAGTCTCAAGAAGATGATTCAACTGGAGCAGATCCAAAGCTTGTATTTCTCATCATTACTATAGTGATTCAAACGCCCCTCAATGAGCGCAGCACAAACACTAGAATCAGATTCCCCTCCAGATCTTATAGTAAGAAGCTCTATGAACGCTACCAAAGTTACCGGGGGTAAGGAAACCGCAAGCTTGCACAGGAAAACACAGCTACAGATATAATTACTTCAAAATTGGCAAGACTGAGACATTTGCACTTATTTGTGACCTGTTACATTCCATCAATATGTGAAATGTTTACTTTTTTCCTTATTTACATAGCATGCTTTTCATTGTATCAGTAATCACTGCAACTGTGGTTACAAATCAACATAACAGCGTACATGTAGACATGACCACACTATTCAGTACACACTTCATTTGCTGCTCACCCATGACATTCAAATCAGCCATCACTTTGTGCCATCTTATGTCAGATAAAGCATCGGGTCTACTTTCTTGCTATTAGCGAGATCAGCTGTTCATTAGTTAGCCTACTAAGCTCAAGGAGCTTAGAGCTTGATGATAGATATTAGAAATATTGCAATATTTAGTGCAAAATACACTGCTGTCGAAGCGTCCAAACACGAGTCTACAGCAAATACAAGCATCAGTTAGGAACTTGATTGATTTGTGCGGTTTAACGTCTCGAAACCACCATATGATTATAAGAGATGCCGTAGTGGAGGGCTCCGGAAATTTCGACCAGCTGGGGTTCTTTAACGTACACCCAAATCTGAGCAGACAGGCCTACCGCATTTTCACCTCCATCGAAAATGCAGCCGCCGCAGCCGGGAATCGAACCCGCGACCTGTGGGTCAGTAGATGAGTACCTTAGCCACAAGACCACCGCAGCAGGGCATCAGTTAGAAACTTATGGGTCAGACAGTACATGATGGCTGTGATCAATGAAGAAAAATAGTCTTTTGGCACCCTTGCATGTTTCCATCAACAATCTATCATTGCACTGCATTTTGTCATACCACATCCTTTTTTAAAACCTGCCTGCTCTTTCAACATCTCAATCTGTATTGAAGATTTCTCTGTAAGAGCTTTAAGAGAATGCAATGGGAAAGAATGCTTGAACTACAGAACCATCGTTCTACATTTCAAGCATTATTTTACCCTGCCCCTATTACTAGTAGATCAGTTTTTTTTTCCCTCGTAGACTGGAAAAGAGATCTCTAGCAGGCTACTAGTATGAGCAAATTCTACAGGCTCTCTTTTGTTACTAAATGTAATGCTCCCCCCTTTCAAGTACTGAGCTTCAACCCTTACTTGTAACATCATGCACATTAAATGTGTCATTTATTCCAATTTGTTCAGACCTTTGGTCTATTTTCGTCCAGTGGAGTCTCAATAAATGAAAACTGCTTTAATGAACCATTACCCTCATGTATGGCTGGTTTTGTATTCATGCAGTGGTTAATTAAATATGTCAATTAAATGGGACCTTTATGTTTACAACTCCAGACAATGAAACTGCAAGCACCTGGATACAAAACTAAACGGGCCGTTTCAGTCATTGCCAGTGATATGCATTAGCAACATTGCAGCACACAGTGGTGTTGCACTCTTGCACTTTTGCACTTTTGCTATTGGCCATGGTCAATTGTCCACAGTTTGTGCTCAAGACATGCTTGTAGCTCACTTTAGTGACTCTGGTCAGTGAGCTTTCGGAATATTTTCGTGCAATGAAATGTCTGCACAAAAAGCTCACAATACAGACAACTTGAGAGTAATGGCATGAAAAAAAATGATGTTCTCTGAGGTGTACCATCCCAAAAAGCAGCTTTATAAGGATCACTAAGAAAAAAGCAAGCATGCTGCAGGACCCTTCAGTCAGCTATGCATCACGAGGAGGCATATATGTTGCACAAATTGGACGCTGTTACAATGAAAAACTTGAATAGAGTGTTAGCATTTCGAGAGTAGTAAGTGATCCTGTTCTAACTCATGGTCAAGACAGTGGCTGTTGGCCATACTTTGGAAATTGAAGCATTGAAAACAAATATTGCAGCCAGTTGACAAAAAGTCACAGCTTTGCCGCAAAGGCGAAGCAATGAACGCAATAGCAACAAATTGGAAGGTCACACACAGAATGGCAAGCAGATCAATACGTGCCCCGTGTTTCTCACGCACAAATGACGCATGAAACGCACTCCCAGGTACAGATGAACACGAATAAGCATCTCAGTTGTTACTTCACTGGGTCTGAAAAGCGCGCCCTTTTCGCCAATTGAGGCTGTGCGACGATTGCAGTGACCTTTGTGCACCCCGCAACTATAACAGAATCTTTCCAGTGCAAGCCCAACGCCAGCCAAGACCCGGGAGATAAGGGCGCGTGAGAGATCGTCCACTCTCCTCCTCTCTGCAGGCCAAAGTACCCCAGGTGGCCGAAATTTCCGGAGCCCTCCACTACGACGTCTCTCATAATCATATGGTGGTTTTGGGAGGCTCACCTCACATGTCAATCAATCAGGCCAAAGTACGCACGAGAGATGAGAGCCGCCGTGCGCTCATTGCGCCATCTTGCTGATAATGCTGAAAACAGTTTAAACGTTGAAGGAGGTACCTCTCGGTGGCTAATGCTTCGCATTCACGAAGCGGAGGTCCCACGTTTTATTCTGCCCGCCAGAGTCTTTTTTCTGGATTTTTTTTTTCTTTGTGTTTTCATAAATGTAGGTACGCATACATATACGGTGCATGGCATCAAGGCCGACACCCACGTCGACGGCGCAATCCAGCCGACAGTGTCCATATAATTGCTATCGCAATAAAAAGATTCTGAAAGCTGCCACAGTTGTGTGCATAAGAAGCAAGTGCATAAGCATGCTATATGTTCACCACAGGGCAAAATAAATGTCCTTTCCTGGACATTAATTTCAAAATGTTATTGTCCCTTTTTTTTTGCTGGTTTACTTGTTTTGTTCATATTTTGTCTAAAATTGAGCACAGTCGTGTGATCATGTGTGGACCATTTGTTTGCTTATTCTTCTTTAATCACTGTTTCTCTCCCATTTGATTATCTTGCGTACTTGCTCAGATGACAGGAAAATAAAGCAGCAATTGCAAGAGCACTCTGATGTGCGTGTTTGTCTCCCTTGTGTCTTGGCTGTGTTGCAAAATCTAGTATGCAACTGTGACTTGTTCTCAAAGCTCTGGCCATCACTGGTATACCACTAATGGCCACAAAAGAGTGCTGGTCACAGCATGCATCTGCAGAAACATACCTTTTCATTAGTCTTCTGGAAAACCTCCACAGCCAGCATCTTTAACGGCCCACAGTAAAGGCCAGTGCTTGAATTATGAAAACTCTCAAGAGCAGCATGCGTCTTTCCACTGTTGGTAGGTCCAGCATGAAAGATCACTTTTCGCTGGATAGCACGTGCCTCGGGATACCTGCCAAGTAAAATGGTTTCAATATCACTAACAGGCACTCACGTAGTTAAACATTCATAGGGCAGCCTCTAAATTGAATAGAGACATGCTTTTCTTAGGGAGCCTGGCAATCTTTCCTTCCCTCTGGCACTCTGATTGAAACAGTATGTGCTCAGGCAACAATAAGAGGTTATGTAATTATAGATCACACACATGACAAGTCATTATGAATCTTCAACAAGACAGTCCTTGAAAGAAGGTATGGCCAAAAAAGTTACAATAGTAAGAGAAAATATTTTCAAGAAATAAAACTCCTTATGCCTTAAGGTTACAACACAGAGTAAAATGTAGTTTGAGTGCACAACTAGTTTCTCAGAACAACAGAAACAGTCTTACCAGTTTCCTGGATGCCTTAAATCACTGATCTTCTGCAGCTCCTCCATGCATTCTAGGTGTGGGAAGATTTGTCTTGCATGTTGAAGAAAATAGGGTACGAGGTCGTCCAAGTGCCCTGCGTATGTGCAATCAACTCAAGCATGCAGGAAGTACGATCATTCGCTAAAAAGTGTTGTGCTACATACTGCTGCCTTGAAGAAGGTCGCTGAAAATTATATGCAAATCAGCAGGAAGCTGTTCCGATTCCATGCAATACCGTCGAAAACTTACGAAGGCTTGGTGAAATAAGCGAGCTGAAAGCAAGAAAAGATAGTCACATGTTCGTGTTGTGCTACAGACAAGCTGTCATTCAACGCTGCTCGTAATGTAGTGAAAGAACAATGCGGCTTACCGTCTAGACCATTCTCTTCACTCCATTTGATAACCTCCGGGCGTTTACTAAATTGGTTTAGCAGCTTAAGAAGATCCTCTGTAAAATCAGCACTGAATTAAGTTTGGCAAACTTCACGAAGCTCTGTAACGTTAGTAGCGATAGCATTAACAATGACTTTTGTTTGGGAAGAGGTAACGTAACGTATGTGGGCGAGCAGCAATGTATACAAATTAGACACAACCACGAAGAGCACACTTGCCTTTCTTTAGCTTCGTGGTCAGCTCTTCGCCAACATTGATATCGTCCGGGTTGTTGGACACCGTAACCGGAACTGGCATGAATAGCGACGATACACTGCCTTTAGTGCTTTTATGGCGAGCGTCTCTTTGCAGGCGAATGTACTGAAATCGTCTTGATAGAGACCACAGGCTGCCGCTTGGAGTTTCACTTGTGCAAATGTGAATGTGCCTAGATGATCCAGTCGCTGTCCGCGTCATGCAGCGACAGACGGATGCAGAGCTCTGAAGAGGCAATTTTAACAAACGCATTTTCGTCCCTTACACGAGCCACACGGGATTGAATTTCACTTAACTAAGACACGGAACTAAAAAAAATCGAGATAACCTTCTAGCGACAACCCCACAACGTGACCATGGCAGCGACCATCTTAACACGGAACCGGAAGACTGCGTCTTCAACAACTAAAAGTAGTTTCGGTTTCAGGAAGCTTATGTGCCCCTAGCGGTTGCCGGGTGTCGTTTTCTACAAAAAGCATGGCCTCCAAGCCGCGTGCTTAAAACCTTTGAGGCCATGCAAAAATACCAGGAGAAAAATCGTCCTTGTGTTAGCTTGCGCTAAATATGGCCTAATGTCTTACGGACACGGCCGTATTTCTGCCCTTGTGGTCTAGTTGGTTTATATGCGTGCTAAAAGCAGCGCTAAAAATCTAGGCGTCACCACGAAGTGAATGATGACAAGTGGGCGAAGCACTCTGAATCGCTCTTACCATAAATCACCCGCGATATTGCCCACTCACGCATATAAATAAGTGACAACGCGCGTACTGCAACGTGTTTTTGCCGTTGAACCGCCGCTTCCTGCGCCCTCAACTCCTCGAGTAGCAGCTTCATTGTCGGCGTTGCCGTTTTGCCACTGCCTCCCGAGCTTTCGACTCCGGAGTAACTTGCTGCTTGCTGTCAGCGTGCCGTTGAACCACCTCGTGCCGCTTTGCCTTTTGTGGGCGTGGGCGCTTTCACGATCGTTTTCATCCATGGCTAGGGTCAGGGGTTGTGGAAGTATATTGTATAGGGTGCCCTAACTACGTCGTGTAATATACATAGTGTGCATGGGCGTCACACAGCGCCGATTCGTCACTTCCGAAATGCGCCACCGACATGCCTGGGTACCTACTGACCCCGTGGCCGACCACTGCCGTGTTGTTTCCTCGTGCATGCGCCCGTTCAGTTTTGCCTAGCGATGCAAGTTTGAGCAATTATCAAGTGCTGGCGAAGCAAGTTGATATAGCAGTCTACGAATATGGAACAGAGCATCGAATGTCCTCTTTGCCGGAAGGTATTACCTCTAATTGAGAACGCACATTGCGATTTTTCGAAAAGCCTGCCGGTCTCTGGCAACATCGTGCGTTTACCAGAAAACCACCTCAGGAAACATCCGGTTAGCTTGTTCTTGCGTGGTTTAAGCGTTTGTTGTAGGCCGCGGCTGCTTGGGTTCCAATATTTTATGCGGATAAAATTATTCCGATGAAGCGCTCGCAACTCGGGCACAGTATTGTCAAGCCAGGTTGCAGTCTGCAAGCCTGAACTAATTTTATACGCTAGTCAGAACGTTCTGTTTTGATCACGAGAGAAAACTGGATTCCCGTTAAAAGCGCGTAGGCTTGTTCTTCCCACTTCATTAAAGGCAATGTAAAGCTCAGCGCACACTAATGGCACAGAGACGATACTGAGACTTTAGATTAGTCGAAGGTCCTGGTTACCGGGAACACATCAGTGGCTGTCGTTTTCCACTCGTTGCAGATAGCGCCTCCGGAGCAGAGCAACAATGATTATGATGCCATTCCGAGTGCTCAAGCTCAAGATAATCGAAGAGACATTGGCAAGAAGTTGAGATACCGACAGAAAATGAAGGATCATATGTAGATGCGACGGAAAAAAGAGTATTTGTTAGAACTGTGGGCACTTCACCTATACCCGGCTCACCCCAGCAGCAGCCCCCGAGTAAATGACGTGGTGATAATCGAAGAGGGTGGCATTTCCATAGGAGTCTGGTCCCTTGGGCGAATCAGAGACGTTTACCCTGGACAAGGCGCTACAAAACGAGCTTGTCGAGCGCAAACTCAAAACGGAAAGTTTTCCAGAAAACCAGTACAGAAATTGCACAGGCTGGAATTGAGCGACGCTACTGGAGGGCGGGAGTATGTTGGGAAAGAAAAGAAATAAACGTGTGCAGGCTAGCACTGGAAGAGAAGAAATTGGAAATAAGAAACGGTGTTCGGTCTGGTTTCTTCGCCGATCGGTAGTTTTCCTTTACAGTAACAAAATGTAATAAAAATCAAAACAAGAAAGGATAACCACACAGACGACTTGATGGGATGACATATTGAAAAAAAAAACGAAAAAAAAGCAGTAGAGACTAACAGGGGGGGAGCACACATTAATTGGACAACTCTACGAATGAAAACTGCGGATGGCATAGAATCAAAGAAGTACATTTCGCGAACACTTGCGCCGTTATGTACAACGTCGCTACTTACTGATCAAATTATATCTGAAGATCGGCAGCGAATGAGTCAGCAGATTCTGAGGACACTAAACCCTATTGAAGGTTATTCTATAGTTCAATGACCGATAGAAATGTATTGCAATGGGTGATAAAGGGCCTGATACTCTAGTCGTAGTTTGTTCCTGCTGAACACTGATATGATGGTTCAAAGTACTCGTGCTTTTTTATATTGATACCGTCGTGACAAAGTAGACAGAGAAATTTTAAAGCAGCAATGCGACGCCGGATTGCGAAAGTCTGAATGTCTGCCCTATTGTGTAAAGCGGTTATGCTAACACCACGCGAATACTTGGAATACACAAATCGAAGCGCTTTATTTTGAATTCCCTCCAGTTGGTTAAGAAGATAAATTTGGTGTGGGTTCCAGACAATACTGCCGTATATTTAAGGATCGGCCGTACGAGGGCTTTATAACTGGTTAGTCTGACTTTGGCAGGTGTTAGAGCAAGTTTTCTGCGAAGATAACCCAACTGCCCGTATGCGCTTTTGTGCACTGGTTAATGTGAGCGTCCCATTTTAACGTGTTCGTGATGATAACGCCCAAGTATTTCACTGAAGTGACCTCAGCTACGTGTAGTCCCATTAGCTGATACAGAAATTTGAACAGTAATATGCATGTATGAAGTTTTTCTACTTTTATTTTCATTCCCCACTCGTAACACCATCTCGAAACGTTAGCGAGGAAGGTATTTAGCCGGATTTGCTCGTCTATTGTTCGTACTGTGGTATAAATGAAGCAGTCATTAGCAAAGAATCTGACCTTTACATCAGGTTCAACGTAAGAGTGAATGTCGTAAACGAAAATAAGAAATTGAATGGGGCCTAGCACAGATCCTTGCGGAACTCCTGAGCGAACGTCCAACTCCCCAGATTCAGCATCATTTATTTTAACGTACTGGCAGCGGTTTGAAAAGTAGGCGACTATTCATTGCACTATACTAGTTTCAATCCCGATAGCCTTCGTTTTGTAAATTAGTTTATGATAAGGTACCTTGTTAATGCTTTAGAGAAGTCTATAAATATTGCACAAGATTGTAGTCTCGAGTTAATTACTGTATCAAAGTCATGCGCAATTTCGAAAGTTTAGTTATGGTAGAAAGGCTATTACGAAATCCGCGTTGTTTGGAGTAAAGTAGGCTGTTGTCTTATAAGTATATGCTGATCTCCTTGTTGATAATATGCTCCATCATTTCACAACAAGAGCGAGATAGGCCTGTAGTTGTTCACAGGCAGCCTGTTGCCCCATTTATGAATAAGAAGGATCTTGGCCCAAAGCCAGTCCATCGGCAAAGTGGCTGTTCGAAGCGATGCTACAAAAATCACATGTATGAAAGGAGTTAGTTGTTCTGCGTAACACCGAAGAAAAGCTCTTGGAAGATTGTCACGTCCTGGAGATTTTTTAAGGTCAATCTGTAGCAATAGGTTAAGTATTCCATCTTAGGTTATGACGAATTCTGGCACTGAGAATGCAGAATTTGGCACTGATTCTCTTTCTGCAAGCTCACGAGTACGTGTGAAAACGAGTTGGAAGTACCCGTTAAATGTGTTAGCGATAGTGTGAGCTTCATCTGTCATAGTCCCGTTTATATCGATCTGAGTCACGTGGTTCTCGCGTTTGGATATATAGCGTCAGAACTTTTGCAGATTCTAGGTCATGAAGTTCGTTAGTGTTATTAAAAAAAAAACATCTCTTGAGTTCCTAACAGATGCCCTTAGCTCATCGGAAAGTCAGCGAATATCATCATGATTACGGTTTTTCTTTCGCATTCTTTGCAACCTTTTTTGATGGATATGTGGGGTTTAACACCCCAACACCACCATATGATTATGAGAGACGCCGTAGTGGAGGGCTTTGGAAATTTCGATCACCTGGGGTTCTTTAACGTGCACCGAAATCTGAGCACACGGGCCTACAACATTTCCGCCTTCATCGGAAATGCAGCCACCGCAGCCGGGTTTTGATCCCGCGACCTGCGGGTCAGCAGCCGAGTACCTTAGCCACTAGACCACCATGGCGGGGCTTGCAACCTCCTTTTCAGGTGGGTCACATTGCGCGTAATCCACGGATTTCTCCGTTTTGTACGTTTGAGTCGTGTGGGAACAAATGTGTCCTCGCAATATTTTATTATGTCATTCAGTTTAAGCCATAGATTATTCACTGTAGGGCGATTTTCAATGGAAAAGAATTCTAGCGCTACTTCAGGGTAGTCAATAATACTATAACATCATCAGCTCTACTGTAGTTTTTACCAGCTACGAACGTTTTCAGAATTGGTAGGATGTTACCGATAGTGACTGCTAGCAAAATAAGTTCGTGATCAGATATGCCATCTTCTAGCTTGACGTCCGCTGTTAGATGGTTCGAAACAAAGGCAAAATCTAGTATTGAGAATGTCTGCTCCTGAATGCGGGTTGGACCTGTGACAAGCTGAGACAATGAATAACTAAATGCTACATTCAAAAGCAGCTCAGAACTAGAAAAACCTCTACTACCGACTGTCAACGTATTGCAATCAATAGTAGGTAAATTAAAATCACCGGCAAGAGTGAGCTCAGTCCGAGCATTCAACTTGTCGTGAAGGAAAGGATGCATTCTTGTGATGTATTCGTCAGACGCGTTTGACTTTCTATAAATACGGCCTATTAGCTCCGATAACGAATACTGGCGGCGCGGATGTCGGGGCGGCGTGACGTCACGGCAAATACTCGCTTGCTTTGCGGCCGTGTATCGCCCTTTTCTGCGCCCGCCGTGCGCCCACTATAACGCGGTATGGTGGTGATAACTTCTGATTGTTGTGATGCAAATCTACCAATGTAGGAGGCGGCTGTCTACATGCTGGCGAAAGGTAGGTGAGCTGAAG